CATCGACACCTGAAGGGCCAGCAATTCCACGAGCATGAAGGGCAACAGTTTTGATGTTTTCAGCAATTATGTTATTAGCGATGGTAAGAACAGGATCATCAACCGGACCATAGAGAAGACTACCTTGCTGAATGGGTTCCGACTTATGATGCTTCTCTCTCAGGATGCTGACAACTTCATCTGACATCGGCAATGGTTTGCTCACCGTATCAAGGGAACTGATGGCCGTGTTTTACTTTTCTGAATGGAATGAGAGCAGAGAAGCGCTTCGGGTCCAGTGGCTTCTGTTTGATGGTTTTCATTGCATGGCAGAAGATCCTTTGAATGTCATCGGATTCTTTCAAAAGATGGTCGACATCACCATCATTCCATTTGACTAACCTCTGATGTAGACAGTTGGCATGGTCCCGTCTTTTCGAATTCTTGGATGGTTTCTGAAGGAGAAGCCCAGGAAGCAGAGGAAGCGAATATAGAAGAAGTAGCACCTGCCGATTTGCTGTTATAAACATCAAGCATGCGACTCATTTCTGCAACGAAAGCTTTACTTACCCGCATTTCCAGACAAGAGCGCAAATAGGTTTTGTTTGTAGTGTGCAGTTTTCATAAAGGTATGCTCGAGTTTAGCGCCAACTAAAGTTTTCCTATTCAGTGTTTTTAATTCTTCTGGGTTTGTAGGGTTGTAATCAGGCAGATATCTATAGTTCCATACCATTGGGTCATCAAACTGCATACTCTCCATCGCTTGAGTAAGTCCAGAGGACAGACCCATGTTGTCATCAATCACCATGTCCTGCATCTGTTGTGTGAGTCCGGAGGAATGCGATTGGCAAATCTGGCAAATGAATGCTTCGTCAATTGGTAGATTATTCACAGCTGCTTGGCTCGTGCCCGCGCAGCTGAAGTGATACCATCTACAGCATTGTTCACACAGAACTCCGCGGCTGATGACAGTTTTCCCAAATCTACATGATTCTTTCTCACATGTAGCGGGGTCATCTTCGCTTCCGATCAGTTCACTTGCAAAACGCGCTCTTCGCTGCTTCGTTGTTATCATTTGAGGTTATCGGACATTATTTAATAAGTTTACCACAACAATTAGGCTTTTAGAGATAAGGCTACCGGTTGTTTTTACGGCGATTATCTCTGTCTTCCGCAGATCCTCAAACATATCGGGAGTGCCCATTCTCCTGCAGCGACTATTGTTGTTGTGTTTCTCCTGAGTGTGCGAAATATGAAAAGTTTACGTGTCGTTCACGTCCAAATCGAAATTTAAAAAAATTAGCATGTCAGATAAAACTAACCCTTCCCGATTTGTCCAATCGTTCAAATTACGTCGCTATTCCATTAAAACCACCAATCTTCCCGGTTAGATGTTCTTTTTCTGATCGATAAAAATTCGATTGCGAACCTGCATTTTTGTACATTCTGGTCGAATGTCACATTCCCTCAATGGTCTTGTTAAGAGTTTCAAGCACTATCGTCCGTCCAATTTTTCGGATCCCTCTTGGCAGTTTGAGGTGATATTGAAAACAGGCAGAAGGTTAACTCAGATAAAACTCCAGAGTGGGGCGCCGTCTTGTCTGTGGCTGTTCTTACAGGAATCCTGTTGATTGTAGTGATACAGGGATTTTGCGGTGTTGAAAACGTCCTGGATGACCTCATTGCACATTGTGTGTACAGTGAGTATGGAGGTGATGCGTGGAGAAACAAGTACATGAGTGCTGTGGTACAGTTCCAGACTGGTGCCACACAGTCTGCTATTCTTAGGGCAGTCAATGGCGCCCATTCTGATGCCACGGGCAATGCGGAGCTGGTCATCAGGCGGAGGAGACTGGAAGGTGCATCGTCTAGCCAGTGTTCAGCTTTTTGGCAGGTCATTCCTTGAAGTTCCCGGACCGAGGTCCCCTTCTCATGTTGCGTCCGAAATGGACTATCTGCGATGAAAATTCCATCACCCCGTGAAAGGCTTGAGTCGCACAATGTCGCAACATAAATAATTTGGGTCGTGCAAAATCGGAACATAGCTAATTTGGGCCGCGCAAAGTCGCAACATAGCCAATTTGGTTCGCACATAGTCGCAACATAACTAAATGGGGTCGCGCAAAGTCACAACATAGCTAATTTGGGGCGCAATCTTAGCCAATTTGGTTCGCACAAAGTCGCAACATATCTAATTTTGGTCGCGCAATGTCACAACATGGGTCGCACAGAGTGGCAACATAGCTAATTTGGGTCGCGCAAAGTCGCAACAAGGGTCGCGCAAGGTAGCAACTATCTAATTTTGGTCGCGCAATGTCGCAACATGGTCGCACAGAGTCGCAACATAGCTAATTTGGGTCGCGCAAATTCGCAACATTGGTCGCGCAAAGTCTCTTGGAGATAATCCCTTTGATTCAATGGCAGAAATGCATCACATACACGCAGGGCGTCATAAATTTAATACTTGGCTTTAAGCGACGGACCAAGTAAGTTGGCAAAGGAGAGAGACAAACTTAGACTAGAAAACCCATCCAACATTTTCTTAAAGATCTTAATTTTTAACTTGATGAAAAAAACGGCATAAGAAAAAGAGGAAAAAAAACAACTTCCTGCGAATTTTTAGCCACCACACGTCTCTTTTAATGGAACAAGCTTTCGAAGATAAAATTGGAGAAAAAACCAAAACCTATCAAAATTTCTTCCATAGGCCGCTCTTCAGCACGTTTTTCTGACCGCTATACTCAACAACGGATAGAACAGATATTTCCCCCTAAGTGCCCTCAAGGTCCAGCACCCCACACTGCGCCATATTTTTTTAGTGTTTCCAAAATCCAACTTCCCTGACCCCTATAGACCTGTGGCTCCGGGCGATTGAGGGCGCGACGTTCCTTAGACTCGACGAGAACATGCCGGACGCGCATCAAATATCAAGCCAAAAAAAAACTTTAGATAACATTATCAGTGGCTTTGATATCAAAGAAGTAGTAGTAAGCGCTGTAAACATCTCATTTCGCACTTTTTGGTTTCTTCATACAAAATTTAATGAAACAAAAGTATTGAAAAAAGGTTGGAATTCAATATTACAGCTCGAAGATCCCGATGAACAGCCTAAACAATCGAAACTTTTTTCATCACCATCTTTAAGCATGTGTGCGTCTATGACATGTGTGCGTCTTTTTTGTAGGAAATCGTCCATTCAAAAGGAAAAACATTAACAGAAACTTCCTGCGTCATTGGATTCCTTAATCGATGAAAAAATTCGGGCTATACAAAATCTGAACTGACTAAACAGCTGAAGCAAGAGCAATTTTCCTTGAAACAAAGAAATGGAAGTAATTGTAAGCATTTCGAAAACAAACATGTTATTTTTATTTCACTTGTATTTGACGAATCGTGTTAAATTGAAAATTATCAAAAAAATTGAGAAACGGTTGGGTTTCTTTTTTTTCGGCTTTTTTGAGTTTTCTTCACTGGGGAAACTACTACGGTAAAAAAAACATCTATTTGGCTTCGGCATAAAACCTGGTAGACAAAACACAATAGAAAATAAATAATTTCCGCTTCCTTGCCCAAAAAGATGTTCACAATGAAATCAAATCAAACATTGGGATCAACGAAACACCACCACTGGCCCCATAATACGCTGCTGGAGTTGTAATTCCAAATCGTTAAACAATTGTGTTTGTCACGAACACTTTTTATCGATATTGGAAATCCCCTATGTAATACCATTGTTTAAAAATGGTAACCACTTCGAACGCAAAAGTTATACACCAATAGCCTTAGCTCCAATTCTCCTAAAATTTATAAAAACAGATGGCTCTTTAGTTGGGTGAAATGATCTTATTTCTGAGAGTCAGTTCGAGTTCTGTCAGCGCTCCTCTAAAGTTGACGCTTACAGTCGAAGTAAAAATTATTGTCGTCAAAACTCGAACACATAAACTGCTTTCCTTGATCTGTCAAAACCTTTGATTCAATTTCACGTGAAAAACTATCGAGAAAACCAGAAAATTTGGGCTTCGAAACAAAAGCCTTAAACATTTTTTTCGAATCCTTTAATAATATTCCCTCTTTTAGATAATTAAAGAGTGACTTATAAAGCAAATTACGAAAAATTTCCCTCATGTGCATCACCAGCTGTAAAAGTACTAAAATTTTATAAAATGATAATCGATCATAAAAGTATCCAAAGACAATGGCTGTACAAAATAATGAAAAATCAACAAATCAGTAATTTGCAAATTTGAAATCCGCGCCAAAATTACATCATGATTTTAGCATCAGACTGAAGTCTCTCAGACATTCTATTAGTTTTATCTTTAATTTAAATTAAACAACGATCGTAAGCAGAGTAAAACTATCAAAAGTAAGGGTGACGAGCAGAGATTTTCCACTTGCATTAAGGTCGTACCAATCATCAGGTTTAAAATCAACCAAACGGTCAGACATCTTACCACTAGGGTTGATGAGCACCGCAGAGCGGATACTACCGTCGGGCATTATCTAAAACGGCGAGGAGGCGATGATTTGATCTCAGAGTTAAGTTGGAAGATCTCAGACCAGGCAACTAGCAATATTAAGTCATTAACGTTAGAAGCGCTGCATATTAGCAAAAAGCCAGGAGTCAACGCACGCGACGAATTTAGAAGCATTGAGCTGATAATATTTCTAAAATTCCAAAAGCTACAATTCCAAAATCTTTTGCTAAAACATCAAAAAGTATGAGCATTGTTTTAAGGAGCTGCCGATTTTCGATTACACTTGAAAATGTTGCAAGATTAAGGCTACAGCTAATAAGTTTTTTTTCACTGTGAATGTGGCCGTCTTGAGATTACTTAACCCATTAAAAATGTTATTATCAGCTCAATGTGGCGTCTGATAGTTTTTTTGGTTCGTTTATTATTGTATACTTGATAAAAATGCGTTCTGCTTTTTGGTGATTTGATAAATTCAGTGTTTTTATCTCTATATGCATTACAGATGCAGACGGATTAGTCTTGATTCGTTTTTTTTTCAGAATGATAGTTAGTTAGTAAAAATGTCCAGAGTTGGTCCTGTTGGCCCTGGGCAAGGCCTCAGTAAATCATTAACATCAGTAGCTCCGCATTTGGTACGCTCTACAGTCGCTACTCCATACACTAAAGGCGGCAAGCTAGTTGTTGGGACCCCTCCAATTCTCCCGCGAAATGTATCTAGAGGAACATCGGACAAAATGGTTCACAACTTATTAGGATCTCAAATGGCCTCTCTGGGGCATAACCAGTCTTCGTGTTTTGGTTCTACAACAACATTTAACGAGAGCGCAAGTAGTAATCAGTCCAACAGTAACGGTTTCATTCGCCTCAAGTTCAATGAAGGTCAAACTATTTGCGGAGTTCCATGTCAATCATTAGAATGCGTAGTCAACGTCAAAGGGAAAGGTAGTGACCTTTTAGATTGCACTTAGTTTTTCAAAAAAAGTATCTTTGATGTTTTAAATTATATGTTTTCATTATATTTATTAATTGGCATAGGAAACAATGATTTTTATCTGTTTCCTGTGAATCTATAAAAATGATAGCGTGCAATGCTATCAATACTCATTATTCATTATTGCTTTTTTTTATTGGAGCAATTATTATCTGAAAAACGTTCGCAAATATTAGAAAATGGTGTGAGTGTCATCTCTCGGGCTGCTCAAGTCAGACAGTTTGGAGAATTCGTTGATACCCATGTAGTGAGTGGGAGATGCCTGGAGATCTTTGTCCGCAACAGACTCACCGGATCTCTAGTAGGGGGTGCTGTGAATATCACTCAGGAGACTTTGGCTTCAAAATGTCTGTCTGCACCCAAGAAGAAGAAAGAGTTTCCGGTTAGTCCTTGTAAACAGTGTGCCCTTTTGTCCGAGTAGTCACCCTTGCCGTTCAAATAGCCGTTTTTGAATAATTTTCACAAAGCTTTTTTTTGTATCACTGATGGTGCCAAGCTCCACTTAGCCTCCCCGAGTAGTGGTCTGTGTTGTGCTTTCAAATCTTCTAAAACGGCCTAAAACTTCAGTTTTGAATTTATTTCATTTCTTGCTGATTTTTTTTCCGACCATTGAAAACGGGGAGGAACTTGGTATTCGGATGTGTTTTAGTTTTCCTTTTGGTTTTCATGCAAAATTAGGTAACACAAATAATCATCATCGCAATGGGTCGAGCGATATTGGCTGTGATGCAGACAGTTCGCCGTGTTTTCCTTTTGCCAGGCGGGGTTCGAGTCAGCTTATGTTCTATAGCTTGAGTCAGCTTATGTTCTATAGTTAGCAAACTGAAAATTTTCTGTTTTTTAAGTGCACGCTTGCCATTAACAAGCGTTATCAAATTGGATTTTTATAATTTTTCAGGTTAAAACTTGCTTATCAGTCACACTGAATAATTCGATGACTTGATATTTAATAACATTAAATGCAGGCTTTTATTTTGCTCGTTTGGCCTGGAGCTACCGCCACTCCTGGCAAACGAGAACCGGGGCTCGAATCCGGTCAAGAACTATTCGATTTGCAAAGTTTTTGGCCTGACTAAATATTTTTCGGCCTAATGTGGTTCGGGCGAATCGCAAAGGAGCTATCAGTAGGCCTGAACAGTCCTGTGGAGGATAGTCCATTTGTTGGGTTAGCTTGTAACAAGTTAAGCTTGGGTTAAGCTTAAAATAAATTCAAAATTGTAGATTTTTCGGCAAACTTGGCCTAGAGGGAACAACTACGCGTGGGAGGACAAAGTTCCTAGGTTCGAATCTGGCCAGTACCTTTTTTCAAACTTTTTTCCGTTCGTTTGTTTTTAATTTTGTGTAAAAAATTGTCGGTCTATTGCTTGTCCGCTTAGTTGCCTCACCGCAATTTTTATTTTGCTTCAAGCGCTTTTCAATATGTGTTCTTTTATCTGATTTTAAAAAAATATTATCTAGTTTTTCTTATTTTGCGTCTTTTGAAGTGAAAGTAGATTTGAGATTCCGTAGAGGGTGTAAAAATTTAGAATTGCAGAACTTTCATGAGGACAATTTTTTCGGTTCAGTGACATTTTATTTAGCTTTTGTCTACCTAATTAACGCTCGATAAATATTTACGAACGCTGGAGGTTGTTTCTTGCCGGTTTTTTTTTTAAATTAAATTATTGTAGACAAAAATTTTAGTAGTCGTGTTTTTTTTCGACTTCTCGGCTTTCCTTTTGTTTTTTGCCTAGCTTGCAATGCTATATTTGTGTGGTATCCCAAGTGGTGAGAAACGCTGCTTCGCATCTGCTTAAAAAAATTTCAACCTAAGATTTTCGGAGAATTTATAAATCACTTATCGTTTTCTTTAAAGTCCTCGAAAACAAAAAATGGAGTTTTGTCTTGAATTAACTGAAATATTAATTGAACTGATCCCACGAACAAACAATGAAATACATTTTTGTGTCATTAGTGGTCGATGACTGTTTTTCCCCAAATGATTGCCTGTGGCTTTGAAATGTTTGATTTCATCGTGTTTTGGAAGAACTAGGAAAATGAATTTGGTCGACCTAAAAAATCACTACCCCCTCCCCCTCGAGAAAACCCCAGATTCGCCCCTGAAACAGACATTCATCGAGCCATAATGAGCTTACTTCGTTTTTTCATTTTAGCTTATGTTGGACAAAGGTGGTGAACTCCGAGTTACAGTGAAGTACTTCAGCGAAAAAGGTTTGCAATTTTTTTTGTTGAATATTAACATAAAATATTGTATTTTTGTTTTTATAATGCGCAGTACAGCTAATTAAATTTATGACCGTTATGGGCGGCGTGGTCAGTCTGTGAGAGCTTTGGTTGTCAAACATCGTAAATTAGTTCTGAAATATAACCTTAAACAGTTTATAATTGAAAGATAAAGGTAACTTGTCGTCAACTCATGATTTGGTCGTAATCAACGAGTATGTTTAGGTTAATCAATTATTGATATTGTGCTGATATGCCACTACAAGCGTGGGAGCTTATGGATAATTGGTATATCGCTCTCCCATGCATAGAAAAGTATAAAATGGAAAGCTTTCCATGATCTTCATGGATCTAAATGGTGAAATATTTTGTGTCGGTCGGAACACATTTTTTTGCGTCTCAAGTTTAGTGGAAACTAAAGTATCAGTGGCACTCGATTAAAAAAAATAGTTCAAGTTAAACGATGAATTTAATTTTTCAAATTTTGATAGAAAAACAACTTCATCGAATATGCGCAGCCTGAAACTCAAAGCTAACGTTAAAAACACGAACGAAATTTATTAACTAAATTAAATTGCGAAGGGGGGATTCGTTACTGGGTACAAAATTTGCGTATGCTTAACCGTTGAGTTATTCCGTTATAGGGGTGGTAATCCGTTACTAGGTACCAAAGTAGGGGGGAATAGTTAAAGAGACCTAAATTTCAGTGGCGTGCACAGAAAGTTTTCTAGGGGGGGGGGGGGTTCGAAAATTTTTTTCAACTTTGCGGACCTTTTTTTTAGGTCGAGCAATTTGATTTTCCGAACTCTCCGAAAATACTATAAGGACTTTTTTTGTCCAAAAGTTTTCTGCGTCGCAGGCAAATTTTTCTAAAGAAAACAGGCTAAAGAAGGCGTTTTAGAGATTTTGGGAAAATGTTGACCAAAAAATTGCGTTTTTTTCGGCGCGCGCTCCCCACTCAAAATTAATCATGTTGGCGCCTTAAGAAAAAGTTTGAGGTTGGTCAGCCAAAAATGGATGTCGTTAAGATATACATACCAAAGGGGGACACCACTTGGCAACCAGAATTGAGGGGGGGGGGGGGCGGTCGCTTCTGTTGTAGTTCTTAAGACATAAAAAAATTTTTACTGTATTTTCTCGGTCAAAAACGATGCATGACCATTTGCCCTATCCCATTCAAGCTTATGTTCTATTCAACTTTATGGCATTCTACTTCTCAAAATGGCCCTGCTGTAGAAAATAGTAGTAAATCTTTGATCATTCGAACAGCTTCATTCGAGCAGCTTTAATCACTGTTTTGTAAAACAATTTGAAAGTGCTCTTGTGTTTACAGAAGAAAAGAGTTCAAGTTCTGCTAGACGAAAGTCGAGACAAACTGAAACGAACGCAAACACAGGTATACTTCCGTCGCCAAATAGCACTTCAGGAGTCACTGTGGTTGACCAGTTTCACAACCCACAACAATGGAGTCGAAAACAAACTAGTCAACTGCAGTTCAGAGGTCAGTGAACTGTTCAGATGGTTTCTTGTCTTGCTACTAAGAATGGAGAGTTAAAATTTGGTGACTGAAAATGCCGAAACTAAGATAGATTGTCCATCAGAGAATACCATGAACTGAGATGATGTTTGAAGGGCGAACTTGTGATTTTCAACCCAATCTCTTTTTCGTGTCCTTTCGGAACTCAAATTACGGGGGTTTCTGCCGTTTTACTGCAGGGCTTTTCTAATTAGTTTTTGGAACGAAGTGAATATTACTTTAACAAGATTTTTGGTTTGCACCGGCTGTACTTACTCTTTAATATCTTGGTTAATATCCTCTAATGTGGCCGTGAACACTAAGCTAGGTCTTGTTAAGAGTAATGAACGTAGTGAAGACTCTTAAATAGGTCTTGCAGATTTTTTTTCAGGAAAAGTGTTAAAAGTCTCTAATATCTACAGACGTGCATTCAACATTTTGATCCATTTATGAATGCTTTTAAGTATATATGCACTTTTTCAGTTATTGCTGAAAGTGACGTAAATAGCACTCTCCAAATACAAACGTGGAAATGGCGCAAAAAAAACTTGAACGATTTCTTGTTTCGAAAGTGGAATTTAATTTTTGTATTTCCAGCGGAATAAAAATTTTACATGTTGATTCAGTTTTCTCAAGTTGAGTTAATGTTACCAAAAAGGCGCTAATGATAAATCGTTATTGAAATTCAAAGAGCTTAAAGGGTGTCTATTTTTTTCTTTGAAATTCGAAATATGAGATGTTTTTTTAAATATTTACTTGCGTTTATTACTCTTTTCCAATCTTCGATTGGCTCTGTTGATTAAGAATCAATTAACGACTTTTCCGTGTTTGACCTTTGCTCCTTAAGTTTAATTAAAATTCTGTAGCTCAATGGAAAGTAAATTACGTTCTCAAAAAACAAATCAGTCTTTTTTTTCCTTGCGCTCATTAACACTTTTTCAACTCTGCTGGCTATGCTTTCTTGAGGTTAGACCCACGATTTGTTTTAGTTTAATTCAAATTCAAGGAAATTTGCGGTCTCCAATAACTAATAATTAAGTTTGACGTACGTGTGAAGATATTTAGGCCATGTGCTTTTTTCAAGAAGAAAATGTGATTACGGACAAATTTGAATTTCGTGGTTGGACTTTTGATAAATTTGTGAGTTGAATTCAATTCATTGCTAGGAGTTAAGCAAATTACACTCTCCAAGAAGAAAAAAAGTGCAACTGTCTGGCGAAAATGTGACTGAATTTTAAGTTTCATTGACTTTTTAGTTTTTAGATTTGCCAGCGGAATAAACAATTTATTGACAACGAGATTAAATACGATGTACTTAAACGTGAAAATTGAAAGTTGTTCAAAAAACATCATTTTTTTGCGGTTTTCTAAGTATTTGACTTTTTTTACCTTTCTGTTGGCTATGCTGCGGCTTTTTTGAACTTAGACTGATGCAAAATGAACGTAATAAAATGCTTTGAATTATGTTTATTCTAACGATAGGTTCTAGTGGGAATTTTTTGCGATTTTTGCCCCTTCTCTCCGTCATTTGTGTTTTGTCAAAGTTCTTAAGCAATTAAATTTTGTTTACGCTGGCGATCATCAAGCGTTATCAAATGGGAACAATGGCTTTTTTCATTAAAACGTGGTAAACAAAATCTCTATCTTTTCCTTCCGTAGAAGTCTTTCGTCATCCCTGTTAGTTCGTAAACTCTGCCATATTGTCATTTTGGTCTTTCAAACCAACAGGCCTTTTTTTATTATATCGGCATTATTGATTCTCGTTCTATTCAATTTTTTTTATTGGCTTTAATTTCAATAACTGCTGTTTGAAGTATTTTCTGTTTTTCTGTTCCCCAGTTTTTCTGGCTTAACACGATTCGACTTTACTGGTTTAAGCTTAGTAGCCTCATTTGAAAAGTTTCTTGTGCGTTTTGAGCGGGGTTCTTTTTCTTAGACTTTTTTGATTTCCGCGCATAATCTGGTAACACAACTAATTTTCGGAATGACTCGTGAGATATCATATTAAAGCCCTTTCAGTCGTGATTCGAATGACCGTTAACAATTTTCAATAAGTTGTCCCAATGATTAAAGAGAAAACCGGTTTTAAGAGATTAATTTGAAGCTTCCTTGGCAAAAAAAATAAATTTCAAAGTGATTGTGCAAAAGAATTCGAAAATTTATTAGGAAGTTAATTTTCCTTCCCTAAAACCTACAGGATTGAATAGTTCTCTCATCCCACCACGCACAAAAGAGACACTTATATGAAGATATGTGTTTTTGTAAGAATGTGGTCAGAACGTTGTGCCTCTTGCACAGCAACCGGCTATTCTTGTTTGATTTCAAATTGTGAGAGAAAATAGATTGGCCGTGATTAATTTTAAGAAAAAAAATGTTTTCAATTTTGTTTGAAAAAGGGAAATGTTTTTTTTTAGTCGCCAGTAGTTAGTTTTTATCAATAATGTGAATTATTTAAAGGTTTTTCAATTTCAATGATAAATTTTTGATTTCTTTCGTTGTTTTTCGTGTATAATAATAGTTTACCGCTGTCTGGTGCTATGTTTTCTCCTAATTTTTGATTATGAATTAATGTTTATTTCATTTTTTCTACCGTTGTTTTTGTCATTTTCCCGAAGCATTTGCTCAATCTCTCAGATAGTAATATTTCATGTGTTCTAAACTATTGTGATGATCGCTGTAACGAAGTTATGTTTGTGTCTGTGTTTAGAACTGGATGGCGGTAATGGTCTCAGCCAGTCTCTGAATTTAACCTCAACTGGCAGTACTCCCGGGGGGTCAATATCTGGCTCACCTCATCACAACAGATCCAATCTTAGCAGTAGTAGACAACAACACCAGCAGATGATGTCCAATAGTGGAAGTTTCCCTAAGTCAGCAACTATTACATCACAGGGTTAGTTTGACTTGAGTTAGTCGGCGATCGGTGAGTCACCTCTAAAATGAGAGATTTAAATGATGATGTTGATGAAAACCGATATACTGTTTGGGAAAAATAAACAATCTCGGGCTTAAAAAATATGTAAGTTGCTAAGTTTTGGCAACATAACCCAATTAGGAAAACGAATTTAGACGAATGCTAACATAAAGAGCAAAAATTTATGACCATGAGTATTTTTTAAGACCATAAGTACGATAGTTTTTCAAAAAACTTTACATTCAAAATCGGAATTTGTTCAGAGATGGTTGAATTCTTATAAAGTTGGTGTGAAGGAGAGCTGGAAGGTGTAATTTTATACGATCCATTTCGAAGATTTCATAACTAAGCTTGTAGCGATCGGTGTTTGTTAGCGATTTTGTCGTTTTTAAAGCGTCTCAGTTCATTTGTTGTTTTCATAACATTCAGAAAATTGCTTAAAGCAATCGATCTTGCAATTAGTTTTGACAGAAATGTATTCTTAAGAGTCGATGAACGTAGTTCAGACTCTTATCTAGGTCGTGGTGATTATTCAAAAGTGATATTTTTTCGAAAAGTTTTAAATGCTCTTATAACAAAAGAAATGCGTTCATACTTATAAATGCACATATGAATGCCCGTGACCATCCATTTCAACCCCAGACACTTCCGGTCCAAAAACGCAGTCATTTTCACCCCAAAATCAGTCATGTCCGGAGCTGACTGCTTTTGGGGAGGAATGACTGGAGGGGAAGTGACTGGGCCAGAAATGACTGGGAGTTATGAATTCCTTTAGGAACATATGCGTTTTTTCAGTTCGATTCAAGTTCATTTGCTAGAAGGTAGGCAAAATTCACTCTCCGACTATAGAACCTGAAATGGCGCAATAAATATGATCGATTTTTTGTTTCGAATTTGGATTTTAATGTTGAGATTTTCCAGCGGAATAAATACTCAAATTGGGTAATTTTATCAAAAAAGCGCCAACTTTAAATTGCTGTTGAAATTCAAAGAGCTTTAAAGCCATTTTTTTTTTGAAATTAGAAAGCTTTTTCAAAAAACCAGTCAGTTTTTTTGTTTCTTTGCGTTCATTGACTCTTTTCCAACTGTCTGTTGGCTATGTTTTTGTCGTTTTAATCTTAATTCAAAATTGTGTTGACTGAAAAGATAGGCAAGATATGTCGCTTTGAAACTTTGGTGGGCGATGTGAATTCAGGGCCCGCGACTGCCGTTTTTTTGTGTGTTTTCGTCTAAATCAAATCCTCCAAAGCAGAAAAAACTTCCAATGAATTACGTCTTGAAGTTTTCCGACTGATCAGCTTTTGTCTCAGTTTTTTCAGCAAACTTAGGATCTTTCGTTTTCCCTCTACCTTCGATTTTTTTTACTTTTAATTTCTTTTTCACATTGTCTGATTGTTACAAAAATAAACATGCAGACTAATTAGGCCATGACAAACGTAAGTCCTTTGATCACTCTTGTAACTCTTGTTTTTAGAGAAAATTGGTATCTTGATTAAGAGTCAATGAACGTGGCAATAATTTTGTGCATTGAATCATATATAGCTCTGATGATTTTTGTTTTAGTATAAAAGAGCGAAGTGATTTTCACTAGTATAGATCTTGTAAAGATAAAGTTCACGCTTAAATTTGGTTTTTCGCGTCTTGAATTTTTAATTTTAGCGTCATTTGATTTTCTTTGTTGAAGCGAAGGCAAACCCCCACTATCGAAAAGCAAAATGATCGAAAAGCAAAAAGCAAAAACGTGATCGAAAAGCAAAAACGTGATCGACTTCTAGTTTCGAAGGTGGAATTTGATTTTCAGATTTACCAGCGGAATGAATTTACCTGTTGATCCAATTTTGTCAAAATGTGCTAATTGTGGCAAAAAAAAGTATCTGTCAATAATTGTTCTGTGAATTCAAAAAGTTTGATGGCCACTTCTTTATTTGAATTTTGAAAATTGAGACTTTTTCCAAACATGTCAGTATTTTTTCTCTGTTTACTTGCAATCATTGACTATTTGCCAACTTTCTGTTGGCTACGTTTACACAAGCAAAATCTTGTTGCGACGGGAAGATTGTTGCGATAAAATGTGTTCATTTTGATCAATAACCATTATCAAGCTTTTAAGTACAGCCTATTAAGCGTTGACTGTACTTAGCATTGACTGTACTTAAACAAGCTATTTAGTACAGCCAATGCTAGCGACGATAATAACACAGACTATTATATTACAAATAGCACTTCTGCTTCCCGGCATCATGGATCTGTAGCGTAGGGAAGGCGACCAGTGACAAAATAAGAGGGTTCGAACCTGGACAGGGTCGGATGTTTCTAATGAACTTTTTCGTGTACTAGTTAAAATGCATCCGCTCCATAAATTGAGGCATGTTAGTTGTATATTTCTTTTTTTTTCAAATTGATTGGTACTGCTAATACGTCATAATAAGCTTGCGTCACTTAGCAATTATGTAGACTCATAATTTGCGTGCGTCTCTTAAGCAATTTTGTGGACTCAAGTTTATCTCATTCAGTTTTTCCCAGTAGCGTTATAGGTCATGTTTTTGCTTGTGTATGCGAAGTGCAACTTCGCCTATGTGTTTCTTAAATAAAGTAAGTATTTGTTTTCTGCTTACTTGCGTTCATGACTCTTTTCCAAATGTATAGTGACCGCTTTTTTCTGCAAAAAATCTTAAAACGCTCTTATAACCACCGAGTGCGTTTAAGAGTAAGGAACGTAGTGAGTACTATTATATAGGTCTAGCTGATTTTTTGTTTGTTTTTTTTTCGCTGTTTGATTTGAGTTTTCTTTTTAAGTTCAGTGCATTTCCATTGTTTAAAGGAAGGCAAACTCCAATATCGAACAGCAAAAGTGTAAAGGTCACGAAACATGTGATGGACTTCAAATTTCGAAAATGAAAATTAGTTATCAGATTTCCCAGGGAAATAGAAGTTTTACCTATTGATCCAGTTTTCTCAAATTGGGTTAATTTTATCAAAAAAGTGTTCATAATAAATTGCTCTACAAATTCAAAGAGCTTTAAGGCCATCTATTTTTTTCTTCGAAATTCAAAAGTTAAAGGTTTTTGAAAAAACAAGTCAGTTTTTTCAGTTTCCTTGTGTTCGTTACTCTTTTCCAACAGTCAGTTGGCTATGTTTATACATATTAATGCATTTATGAATAAATTAGGAGTAGATGTTCTTTTTGAGTTGAACTGAAATACATCAGCTAAAAATGAGATAAATTACGCTCTCTAATTACGCAAGACAAAATAGCGCGAAAAAACATAAACGAAAGAACGTAAACGACTAAATTTTTTAGAATTCTCAGCGTAATAAAGAAATCACCCATTTTTTTAAATTGAATTATTTTTTACGAAAAAGTGTCAATCACAAATTGTTCTAGAAGTTCAAAGAGTTTTAAAGGCCATCTGTTTCTTTTAAAATTGGAAAGTTGAGGATTTATCTAAAAAAAACAAGTCAGTACATTCTTTTGTTTGCTCGCGTGACTCTTTTCCAACTGTCTTATGGCTATGTTTTCTATATAGATTTGATATTTGCCTGTAGATTTCTTCATGGACAATCTCAGTAGCAATAGTCTAGAGTGCAGTAGCAACAATAGCCCCACCCTTCAATCAAGCCACGCCCCTAATCAGAAGTGTTCATCAAAGCAGACGACTAGTACTCAATCAAACAACTCAAACTCACCTTTACTGCTATCCCAGTTCAGAACAATCAGCCAATCACAGCACAGTAGCTCCAAAGACCAATCAGTGTCGCCCTCTCATTTGTCGAATAGCTACACTAATCATGGCACGCCTCTACAATCAGGAAATATATTCATGAACAGTAGTTGTAATAGCAGTAATACAAATACAATCAGTAGTTTAGCGGCCAATGAAGTTATTCAGTCGAGGCGGTTTGCGTTCAAAGAGAAGAAAATGCACAGCGTGAACGGACATGAGTTCGTCTCGCATTTCTTCAAGAATCTAACATTCTGCAGTTTCTGCTCAGACTTTTTATGGTAATTAATTTGAAGTGTTGAAAGAATTGATTTGATCTCGTTTTTGTTCTTCCCGGCGAAAGTTCTTTCAACGCCTTAGGGATTTTTTTTTCATTTTTTGAAATTTATTCTTAGTGGGAATATGCCTAATTTCTGGGATTTTTAGAGACTCTCGTCTCACCACGAAAAGCAAATTTGAACACGTCACAATTTGAAAAAAGAAACTGGTGAAATTTTTTGTGCAACCGACTCTTTGTTTTTTTTTTGTGTTTTTACTCTAACGCGCTTTAGCGAGCACATTTTAAGAGTACGACTATTCTTTTTCCAACTTAAGTAGCAAATATTGGTATCTCTTTTAGTACAGCTTTACGGCTTTTTGATAGCTAATGCGCTGACACTGGTTACTATTTAGTTAACCCAGTTGATGCATTTTCATTCATCAAATGAACAGAAAAAAAGCTATTTGTTTCAAACAACAGTAAAATAATATAAACTTGATTTCAGAAATTTTCCTACTCGATGTTTCTCGCAATGTTTTTGAAATGCATAATTTTTACATATTTTTGTTTTATGCTTTCCCATTTATTACATGCAAATTTAATATGGATGCCCAATTTAATATATCGAGTTTTTACATGGAAAATTGTGTCTATTTGTATTTGGTGACACTTGAATCGCATTGGCAATTTCTTAGCATATGTAGCTGCTTTATTTGAGGTAAGTGTTAGCAGATTGTCTATCAGTGCTCGTTGCGCAGATGCGCGGGCATAGTACTCTAAATCTTTTCGTCCTGGGATCGATTCCGTAACATAAAAGTTTTATTTTTCGATGCTTTTTAAAACTTTTTTCTTATTCACTTTTTTGAGCTGATTTTCTGTCGTTTTCTCGCTAGTGTTTGGCAGGGTTGGCATGTTATTTAACATTGTTATTTAACATTGAATTTAACTTACAGTGTTATATATAATTTCTAACAGTGATGTGAGCTATTTCTTAGAAATATGAGTAATTCTTAGAAAAACACAACGCAACTATAATGCATGCTTGTTCCGAAACGATTGTAACGAATCCTGAACGGATGAAAAAAATTTTTCAAACCAATTGCAGTTTCACTTGACAAACTACAGAGCGAAAAATCTCACCTGACGTATGGGAAGCTTCGTGCTCAACTCGGCGTTGAGAAAGCCGGAAAGTTGGCGTTTCTGTTCAAGAAACTCAACTCTTGTTGATATGTTAATTTAATTAACAATTTAACAAATATAACATGTTTTTTTTCGATAAATAACAGTTAGTTTGTTATTTTTGTTTTTAACTTACATTTTGCCAACCCTGGCGTTTGGGAACCGCAACTTTGCCTGTGTTGATTTTGCAAAGTTTTCCCACAAATAATGAAGAAACGATATACTATATTAAATCCCTTTTAGAAGTATTTGTAGAAGGATAAGCCATGAAACTGTAGTATTTTTTGTGAAGTATTTTTTGCGCCATTTTTAGAATAAAAACTTAATAAATCAAAACAGTTTCTGCAAAAAAAAATTTTTTAGTTCTTTTTTTTCGATAAAACCGTTGCTCGATTTGCATTTTTCACTGTGATTGTTAGATATACCTAAATTGTCAGATATACCTAAAGTTTTCTTCAGATCCTTTCATCACACCACGCACAAAACATAACACTAATTTGAAAATAAAGAAAAAACTTTTTATATATTTTTTTAAATTCAGTTTTCTCAAACTGATATTTTTCAGAAACTTTTGTCATTCATTTCGAGCTTTCTTGAAATCAAAGAGCTTCAAAGTGATGATTTTTTGTAGTGAAAATTGAAAAATGAATTGGTTTCTTTGAAATCTAATTATTGCTTTTTTACTGTTGTTTATTGACGATGCTAATAGCATTCTAAAATTAACTTTAAAGTTTATTAATTAAGTTAACTCGGTAAGAAATAAAACTCGTGTGGTTTGCAGGGGTCTGTTGAGTCATCAGGGCTACAGGTGTGTGCAGTGTACTCTGGTCGTGCATAAAAAGTGTCACTTCAAAGTACTCACACAATGTCCAGGCAGTTTACACAACACGCCCACTGCACAGGTAAGCAGAAAAACAACAGCGAGAAATACACAAGTACAACAAAACATATAGAGACGAATAAAAAGTTAGGTTTTGACAAGTTATTTTTGAAAGTAAGTTGAAGAAATACGAGATGTGGAAGCTTAGTTTTGGTCATGGATTTTCCTTGAAATTTTTATATTGACTCCCACGTCAGCTTAAGCAGAGGCAAATTTATAATTTCTTGAGTTGAGCGCAACTTCAAAAATGAAAAAAAAATGTCGAACGAATTGATTGACTGAGCGCTCCTAAATCAAGTAGAAGGTCCAAGTCCAATTTAGGACATTTGCGTGCTGATTGATAGCTGTGAAAAAATAACCAGATTTAAAAGATGAATAAATTCTTTACCTGGTTAAATAAATATGTCTGTAAAGCACTTTTGCAATATTTCAATAACTGTTCGGACAGAGTCGTATTGGGGATTCTATTTGCAGGCACTGGTGGAGCGGTTCCACATCAACGTGCCACATCAGTTCACATCCACCTCCAAGTCATCACAACTGCTCCTCTCTCTCCAGTTCTGTGAACATTGCGGCCAGATGATATTCCCAGGTAATAAATTAATACGCACTAGAAAATATTTTCCCCTAATAAAAATAAATTGGTTGAACAAAGAAAAGTATCTGATGTGTTTTAAATCGAAGTTTGTGTAATTGTCACACAACAAATCAAATCACACGTTGTTGCTTCAAAAAGTTCTTTTCTAGAGTATCTATCGCTGATGGTTTTCATCTTTGATCAAGTTAATTTTCTCTCTTTAGTGTGCCACAGTGCAGTAAAGTGTGGAGTGTGTGGGTTTGTGTGTCACAAGAAGTGTGCTGCCTTCACTGCCAACATCTGTGGAGTGGACCAGAAGAGCATCGCACGTGCACTCCAGGCCATAGACACCGACAAACAGGTACAGGGTATACTCACTCTCTGGTGGTGCCTCTTTTTCTGTGGGGGGAGGGGGGAGGGAGATCCATTAAAGTTTGAGTAATAGTATTTCGTTTGGAGTTTCTCCGAAGTTCAAAATCAGGGTGGTCCTCATTATCGGAGGGGTCGTTATTATTAAACAAAATCGAGTATCAGAGTGGATAATAAGGCACTTGAAATTAGTGTAGAACAGACCACTTAACAACTATTATTGGCTGTTGAAAAAAAACTGTTGGTTGATTGATGGATTTCATGTTTTTTTTTTAATTCGTGTTATTATTCAGGAGAAACTAGAGCGTGCCTTACGGAATGAATCGGACGGCGGTGGTGACAATTACTCCACCTCCGACTACTCGGAGTTCCACCCGAACTATGTCGGTCTATATTCCACCATTCCCGCGCTGATGCCAAACAATCAATCCCCGCACCCCTACTCTATGTCATCCAACGACCCAACACAATCAATCTCACCCCACTTTACGGGTGCGGGACACAGTCTTAATTTATGGTACAATATGGGTCTAACGCCTGTACCAGGTAGACACACTGACTCGGGTTTTGGTTCGGATAACACGAGTTATGTGCCTATGGACCCGCCGTTGCTAACGCCTCCGAATCGCAATCTTAACTCATCCGAATCGCCGTACGAAGACATGTATGCGCCGCCATCGTGTTGCTCGTCGGGTTCGGCTAGTAATTCGCCCGATTTGAATTCACTCTCGCCGAAGAAGAAACAAAGCTTAGGTTCAGTTTACGAGCAAATGTGGCTGACGACAGCGGGAAAACCGGTATTTGTGAACAAAAACATCAAAATACCAGACAGTTTTACGAATGATAACAAGATATGCTATGATGAAAATGTGAATATTACAACTGATCAGACGACTGGAGGAAACAGCGGGCTAAGTTTGAATTGTTTTCACATGCGTACTTTGATTGGCCGAGGCAGTTTCGGGAAGGTGGTTTTGTGTGAACACACTGAAAGCGGAGAACCAGTGGCGATTAAGATTCTGAAGAAACATAGTGTGTTGATGGACGATGATAAAGATGCAGTGTTTCTGGAGCGAGATGTGTTGCATTTAACAGCCTATCATCCGTTCTTTACTCATTTGATTGCGACATTTCAATCAGAGGTTTGTCCTTTTGCTTAGAGAAATAACAGTAAGTCTAGGTGATATATCTTTGATCAAGTGTCGTACTCTCAAAGCTTTTCAGTTTGCATAAAATAAACCGAAGTCATAATACGATTTACCTTTATTAAGATTTAAACGTTCTAAGTAGGATCTTTAACGGATTTCCAACAAAGACGGTTTTTTTTCTGAGAAGATGAGATGAGATCGCATTGCTGTTCAGGTAAAGTTATCGAAGTTTTGATAAGTAAAGTAAAATAGATTTTATATTTAATATATTTTAAATTTAAAAGAAGGTTTTCGAACAGCGAATTCATGGAAGCAAATCAAATTTATTTTGAACGGTGTCTAGTAAAAACAGGTCACCTGGATCCGGGAAGACTAGCGCGTTTTTTATTCGAATTTGGAGTAATCATTGAAAGCACACCAATAAACGAAGGTAATTGAGCAGTTTAGGACTCGATCTTCGTTGAAATTTGTTGACCAAAAACTACTTTGCAGACGCATGTTCTTCGTGACGGAGTACATCTATTTGTTTCAATTTTTTCTAGCAAATTTCTCTAGTGTAAGGTTTTGATTTTAATGACCGTGTAGGTTATGAAGCTCTTTCCAAATGCATGTATATGACTGCTTTCATGCGATTTTTACTTGTTCACATCCATCTGTGCTTCAATTACAGACGTGTCTGTTCTTCGTGATGGAGTACATCCAAGGAGGCGACATGATGTTCCACATGGCACAGAACAGGAAGCTAGCAGAGCCAGTGGCCAGATTCCTCTCTGCCGAAGTGGTGCTAGCTCTCCAGTTCCTCCACCAGCACAATGTCATCTACAGAGACCTCAAGCTCGACAATGTACTCATCGATAGTCAAGGTCAGTTGGTATTTGATTCTGAACTGAAGAAAGTAAGGTTTGCTTTTCGTTATTATCCGCCAGTAAAAATTACAGACCCTCAATTTCGAAAACTTGAGAGGATCGATGGACTTTGACATTTCGCGAAATTCCTTATGTTAGCGTTATTTAATTGAATACTAATTGATAAATTGTTCTGGCGGCTATAATGTGGAATTGATCCTGATATGGTTGTAGTTTTATCAAGCTAATCCCAAACGAGAAGATCACAGCCGATAAGATACCAATCTAGAAGATACCTCATTCTAAAATCGCCCACGGTATAAGATACCATATAAAAAAAAACAAAGAAAAAAAAAATAATTAAAGCGGTTAATCAATCAAAGCTAAAACAATGCGTCGGGTAAAATCACAGAAATTACAAAGTTTTTGCTGCACAATTTCGAACATAATTCATTTGGCCTTCAAAATGAAAATCAAACTTCAAAACAGACTAGACTTTATATGAACTTCAAAAAGGTTTTCCAACTTTTCCAAAAAAATAGCCAGATTTTTCAGACAAATCAAGTCTGTACAAAAAGAAAACATGATTTTGCAAAGTTCAAAAGCTTTGAAATCGGTTTCACTGCGAATCAATTGCCGTTCCATTTAATGAAAATATTTTCATATTTTCGAGCAACTTTTTTTTCTATACGCAATACTGAAAGTGCCGGCAGGCCCCTACTTCCAACCTAGTGTCCCGTAAATAAGAGCAATTGCTCTGGTATTACATTGCTAAAGAAAGCATTTTTGAAGGCTAATCGAAGTATTGCGTTTAGGCGTTCTCCTGGAGGGTGCAAGGAGACAAATATTTAAAAAAAACGGATCATACAAATTTAGTTTAAAGACAAAGTAGACAGAAACCAAAAACATAATTTTTTCAGTTAATGAGCAAGTGAACGGATATAAGCAAATATGTGAGATTCTTTGTATGAAGTAGTTATCTGTTGAAATTTTTCATTTAGATCACGGTAGTTTTTTCGAGTTAAGTTGAGAGTACCGCTAGATACCTTAAGATATTGTATTTTTGATTATAGGAATCCTGTTGAACTTATTGAACGTATATATTGAAGGTCAAACGCGATTTCCACTTTTGAATCCGGTACAAAATTAAAAACAGGAGTCATTTTTAACGCTAAGACTAGCTCGCTATTCGAATCATAAGTTTTCTTGTGGTCCATTTAAAAAGTTTTCAGCATATAGCTCTGTCAGAGGTGAAAATAGCATCCCTTATTGTTATTTTGGTAATGAGACGCAAAAGCATGCAACGCCGCAGTTTCAAAGTCGATTAGAAGTCTTTCCCAGATTACGTCACCGAGAAGTGTTTAAGTGCGGTTTTGAATCTGTTTTATGTTTAAACGGTTATTGCTGAGCAGGGCGTAGAACCAAGGTGGATAAAACCCGCCAATTTTGTTGTGTACAGTGTAGAGCTGGTAAAATTAACTGGGACAAATTTGAAAGTACCGTCTACAAGCCAGTTTCTGTTGTACAGTTTGAGTGCCTTGAGGTTTTCAATATCGCAATAAATCAATATGAGTTCCGAGTCTCGTTTTCCGCTACCGAAAAGACAAAATTTCCAAGAAAAGGTCAGGTATTTCGAAATGACAGTGATCTTTGGCAATGGTGGGCTGGGAAGTCGTTTTCCTGCTTCGGGTAGTGTTCGCGTTATTGCCGACCGTGATGGCAAGGACAGTTGGGTTGACTTGTCGTCCTGCACCGATTGTAAATTAGCTGCGCTGATATGGCTGTTTACTGGATTTAATTGACTCCTAACTGTCTCCTTCATTTGCTGAACTATTTGCCGAGCTTCTGAGCGTCCTGCGTTGAGCTCGTGACTGTTCTCGTTGCTGTGTGAGATTATATCGCTCCCAGAAGTGATTAAAGGTTTCGGGCATTTAAACGATCTCCATTTGCTGCGGCGCCAGATTGTTGTCTTTGTGTCGCGCTTCTTTCGGAATTCATGGCCGTTAAGCTCAATAATTGCTTGGCCTTTTTGTGAAATTTCCCGAGTTAAGTAATTCGTTTTCGACTCTTCAATGAGTTTATAATTGAGATAATGAATGCGAAGTGCTTGCATTTTTAATTGAGCGATTCTAGTTCAATGCCAATTTAACACTAACTTAAACACATTCTGGCAGTATATTAATCATGATTCAAATTTGAATTTGGTTGTCTTAGGTTTTAGCGTTGCTCGTTAATAGCGTGAACCTTATTTACTTCTCATTTACTTCTGATTGCACTTTGGTCGAGTCATTTGTTCATAATTCATGGGATTTTTTAAATTGGTATGGGATCTTATGTTGCGGGCCACTTTAGTACATGGGATTTTTGATACGGTATCTTTTGACATGGGAGCTTTTGGTGTGGTATTTTTTGTCTTGGCATCGTTTTTCAAGATTCATGAACCTTGTAAAAATTCTTAAATATGTCTTTGTGATTTTTTCCAGGGAAGTCCTAAAATTTGTTCACTCTCGCGGTTTGTTTTTTTGATTTTTTTAAAGTTCACTTCATTTCCTTTTGTAAAAGTAAGGCAAACTCCACTAGCACCAGCAAAAGTGTAAAGGTCACGAAAAACGTGATCGGTTTCTTAAATTGAAAGTGGATCTTTTTTTTTACTGATCCAGTTTTATCAAGTTGGTAATTTAATCACAAACTCACCAATCGAGAATTGTTCCTGAAATTAGAATAACCCTTAAGGGCATACCTATACTTTTTGAAATTTGAAAAATGAGATGTTTTTACTGTTTCCTTGCGTTCGTTACTTGCGTTCGTTCCTTGCGTTCGTTTATAACTGTCAGTTGGCTGCGTTTATGTTTTGTTTTTGAGTCATTCGTTAGCAAGGTTCATCTTGAAAGCCAAATATGTTTTTAGCAACAGTTTTATTACTGAAAATTGTCATACATGGACTAAGTGGAAAAGTTTTTAAATGGTAAAAGTTACTCCTTAGCTTAGAACTCTAAACGGCTATCAGAAATTCGTTACTTTAGAGATTGCGTTGAAATGTTCTAGCAAATTATAGCTCCCTCTTTAAAAGCATTGCTGAGTTGGGCTATAAAAGAAAAGTGTGGTTTGTTCATAATGAGATGAATAATGTTAACAGGCCATGTGCGTCTAACTGACTTCGGCATGTGTCGCAAGCTGAAACACAGCGAGGACTTCGCCACCACTCTCTGTGGCACCCCAGACTACATGGCCCCAGAGATCGTAGCCACTCGTGCTCCTAGATACACCACTAGTGTAGATTGGTGGGCTTTGGGAGTGCTGTTGTTTGAGATGGTCTGTGGAAATACTCCGTTCAGGTAGGCACCAGTTCGAATCCTTTTGGGGTCAAATTTTTGGCTAGCGAAATTCTCTGAAACTCTGGCGAGGGTAGTTTTTTTGAAAATTTCCGCCAACTTCACTTTTATAAATCCAGGGGCGGATCTAGGATTTTCTCGTGGCGGGGGAGGGAAGGATTTTCGAAAATTTTGTCGACCTTTTTTTTAGGTCGACCAAATTGATTTTCGAGCTTTCCCAAATTTTCTGCGCCGCGGTCAAAGTTTGAAAAAAAAATGGTCAAAAAAGGCCAAAATTAGTATATATTGGCGCCCTTAGAAAAATTTTAGAGCTCGTCACCAAAAATGGATATCTCCAAATAGTACAAAGGGGGACCCTTTGGGTCGGAAGGGGGTTGAATCCCTGAGGGGGGGGAGGAGGAGGGCGTCCGCCCCCCTTTAAATCCGCCCGTGTATAAATCAATTGCCATTCAAATAAATGTTTTAGTGTGCGTGTTTCAACATACAAAAGAATTGAAGTGTTGAATTGTCGTCCTCGCGCTTAACCTTCATGGAAAATTTCAGACTCGTAATTTTTTTTTTTAATTAGTTGAAATATGTATGACAGGCCAAAATTTTCTTGATAAGGTGATGTCTACTATAGAAAATAAGCATAAAATTTTAAATACGAAAATTTTCTTGTCCTTTTTCGAGGTGTACTGTACAGTCTCGCTCCAAAAAAAACAAGTGGAGTGATTGTTTTCCAGAATAAGAATAGAATATAGGTATAGCTTTTTAAAATGGTGGTTTATCTTTTACGGAAAATTTTTTCCTATTGGTTTACGAGTAGAGAAAACTTTTTTCAACATGAAATCTTTTTTTCTTCAGGGCTCCGAACAACAATGACAAAACACGCCACGAGATGATAATCAACGGGAAAGTGTCTCACTACCCTCATCACATGAGTGCCCACTGCAAAAGCGCCATCAAGGGGTTCCTCACAGTGAGTGTGTTGGAGAGACTAGGCTGTAGTGGGGACCCGAAAGTGCACCCCTTTTTCACTCAGATTGATTTCGAGATGTTGGAGAGGAAACAAGTGCAGCCGCCTCATAAATTCCACTTACAGGTTTCTTGATTTTCTTTACTCATTCTCAAATCATTGTGCTCTGAACAAATTTATTTTTTTCCCATCATAAGTTTTCCTCCAAGCAATTTTTTTGTGTTCCTAAAACACCCAAAATAAAAAAAATCAAATTTTCTCTTTGGAAACTAAATTGTTTTACCTAGGACAAAAAATTACTTAACTGCAATTTTATATTTGTGATGTGTGTGTTGTTTTAGAGCAATAGTGCTGGTGGTAAGTTTGACACGTGTAACTTTGAAGACCAGTTCACACGGGAGAAAGTGAGTGTGACTCCTGTGAACGAAGAGGACGTACCAGATGAACAACACCAGAAACTGTTCAGAAACTTCTCTTTTCTATACTCAACCTCCTAACTAAACAAACTAAACCATTTCAGTTTCGGCTCTTTTCCAGTTTTCCTAAGGAATCGAAAAACGTCAGAGAAGTTTGTTCAAAAATGTTCATTTTTTTCACACTGACTTGTTTTTGTACGGCTTATAACAGCAAAAACTTTATCACATAGCATTTAGGAAATTGTATTTTCACAAAAATGGATCGGGCTGGAAAAGAGCAGCAGTTTCAGGTAAAATTTGAAAATCGCGGACGAAATATGCTGTGGAATCTTAATTATTATCTAACTGGTAGACTATGAGAATCTCTTATGGCCGAAGGCACGATTGTCCAAAATTTATGTTAAGCAATCAGATTTCAGAAATGAAAAATCTGAAAGTAAGCTTGAAAAAAAATCTGTCAGATTTGGATTGTTCGAAAGAAGTTGAGTAGTTGAAATCTTTTAGGCACGATAATAATTCTTTTCAAGACTCGATTCAGTGACTGATTGGTCCGCGGTTGTAGATTTTTCCGTAGGGCATTTTGAAAACAAAGCGATCAAGCTATTGCAATATTTTTATTCAAACAAAAATAACGAATGATTTCGTGGGGCTCTTCATTTCTTGGGTCTCTTGTTGCTTTGAAAAAAGTTTTTTCCAAACTAAGTTCAAAACTGATATCTGTTTTAGAATTGAAAATGCCTCTAAATTGATCTATTCTCATTAAGTTCCTGTCTTCCAATGATTAATAACGAATGTAAACCTATTAATGTATGCTATTTATGATTGCTATTTATTGTAACTTAATTGTTTAATTTGCATGATTGTTCAATGATTAGTTCAATGGAACAGGAGACATACTGCGTGCTATTACTAGTTTTAGAGCTGAACTGATTCAATAGAATATTTAAAACGAAAACTGTCTCAAATTCATAATAAACTTTTGCTGTCACAATCAAACATGAAATTTTGAAAAATTTTAGTCCGATTTTTTTTCAATAGCAACGAGCAGTTTTTCAGAGTTTAATTTTCTATATTGATCACCTTAAAAAACGACTTCTGAATTGATATCATCATACAACTGTTGTTTAATATTATCAACTGGTCCTCACCTATCTTGCCTTAGAATGTGTCTAAACCAACTCAGTTCCGAATTTGAGAACGCCGAATATCCCTATCAACTTTGGCCAATATATGAGTTTGCCTGCGAAAAATATATCGTCACGATTTTATAATTAACATTAAGTTTTTTTCAGAATTGAATTTATTGAAAAACAGAATTTATTGAATTCGGAGCTGAAATCGATATCCGTTTTATCCTTTTTTGCCTTCTAAGTGTCCTTAAAATTGTACATTAGATTACTGAAATGTTTATTAATGTTATTAATGTTTCAAGTACGAACTTGCTAATCATTTACAATTCAAATAGTTAGTGTTGATGAGTTTTCATTTGAGACTAGCCAGTAGTAGTTCAAGTAAATCTATCAGGTGATTCGACTGTGAGGAAAAACATCTCCGCCAAAATCAGACGCGGCGGAGGCGCTTGGAGATTTATTGCTAGCTAGAAAATTCATTTATGGTGTGCGCGTAAATCTCCACAAATCGAATCGTAAAAATATAGATTTTCAAACAGTTGAATTACAGAGCATTTTCTCGGCAAAAATAACTTTCTTCGAACCTGGTTACGGAGCGTCCCATCAAGTTCGGGGCATAATTGAGTTCTAGAAAGAAAATGACCTGGGCTGTATACGCTCCGCTACTGTTTATATGCATTTACATTTTTTTTCAATTTATACTCTCATGCATTTATACTCTGGCTTACATTTGCGCTGCAACATACTCCACCCCTAAACAAGAAAGAACGGGAGCGAGCTTTACGGTCGGGCGGGTCGGTTCGCTCGTAACGGTCTTTATGTCGGCGGATCTCGCGCATCCGTCCTTGCCATAGTGCAGTCTTAGGATACGTGCAAGTGGATAATGTCCACGTGGAGTGTCAGGCTCTATGACCCAAACGAAGTCGCCGGCTTTCAACTTAACGTCTGACTGGTTGTGCCACTTTGCCATCCTATTAAGGAACGTATTCCCGTATCCACCGTGTCCATATTGCGTTAGCGTATGATTGCGCTCTGGCAAACCGCTTCTTATGGACGATGTTTTCTTCGAAACTTAGCGACGGAAAACGCGCTGCGTGTTGACCAAAAATAAAATGATTTGGGGTCAACGCCTCTAGATCTAGCGGATTGGAACTAATGGCTGTTATCGGTCTCTAGCGTTAAGTGATTGCTCAACAAGACAAAGGGTGGTTCTTAGAACCTCCTCAGTTACTCTTCTGTTGCCTAAGATGTCATACAAAACACGTTTGATACTCCGAACTAATCGCTCCCAGGAGTCACCATGGTGCGGTGCGCTGGGTGGATTGAATTTCCACTTGATCCCTCTCTGGACAAAATCAGTGGGTGCGAGCTTGTTCCAACTCTCAACGCAAGCTAAGAGCTCTTTCGGAGCGCCAACAAAGTTCGTGCCGTTGTCGGACATGATGGTAGTCGGAGTACCGTGACGTGCAATAAACCTCTCCACGCCCATAACACAAGAGCTTGTGTCGAGAGAGGGGACCGCTTCAATGTGCACCGCTCTAGTGGTGAGACAGGTGAACAAAAACCCCACCTCTTTTCCGTACTTCTCCGGATCGGAACTAGGAACGGCCCAAAGAAGTCGACACCTGTGTTAGAGAAAGGAGGTTGCTTGTAACCAAGCCTTTCATTGGGCAGATCAGATATTATTTGAGTTACGGTTTGCGCTTTGCGTTTTCGGCACGCAACTCAAGTGTTTTCAATGTTTCGCAGCAACCATCGCAAATTTAACTCAACGTATTTCAATTTAACCACCGCACGCATGTAATCCAAGCCTTGATGAAAGTTGCTAACATGCAAGTGTTTAACCAATAACCGAACAATCGCGTGACGTGCATCAAGTATAATTGGATGCTTGCTATCGAAATTGGAATCAACCGAGCGGCTGATGCGCCCAGTCGAGCGAAGGATGCCAGCTGGTCCAATGAACGGCGAATACTCGGCGATCCGACTATTCCTCGTGATAACTTTACCGGACCTTAGTAGTTTTAGTTCGCTAGGGAATGTCTCACCCTGGGACAGGTAAATGGGCTTCTGTTCAGCAATGTCCATTTCACACGGGTCGGTTATTTCTATTACACTCGACCGGAAAGGTTTATGGGATGGCAGCCATCTTAACAAAAATGCTATTGTGCGTTTGTCTTTTACAGTTGTATTGAAGCTCTCCCATTTTCCGAATGGAAGATTTTTTTCTGTCAAAACATCGACGACAAAATTTGACGAATTTTCCAGCTAAATGTCGATATCACATGAAGGTCCTTTGAGTCTTATTTTATCAATAACCCTTGTATCGCGCTTGAACGGCCAATCAGTCGTCCTCAGTATATTAGGGCCATTAACGCAGCTGCTTTCTTTGATGTCTTCCGAAGAATTCCCTCGTGTACCGGTATCAGCTGGGATATCACCGCTAAGTATGTGATGCCACTGATCAGTGGTGGTAGACTCCAGATTCTCCCCCGTGCGATTTCCAACAAAAACGGGTAATTTATTTCAGGAGTTAAGCCACTGAAGAGCAGTGGTACTATCTGTCCACATGAAAAAGTCCGTAACTTTGAAAGTAAAATCTTTCAAAATTTCTTTTTTCAAGCGGGTTGCAAGAAGAGCCATTTGAAGCTCTTACTTTGGAATAGATAGCGCTTTCATAGGCGCAACGCGGGCTTTGCCAAACACAAAAGCTAATTCGGTCTGATGCGAGCTAGCAAGTCGCGCACGAAGGAAAGCGACGGCACAGAAAACATCCTGCGAACTATCACCGGACATGTGAAGTTCTATTCGGTCTAAAGGTTCAGTGAAATAGCTACGAGGAATTGTGAGAGAACCTAACAAATGAAGAGCTGAGTGCCACTCAAAGAACTGCTTTTTGATTTCATGTGGGAGATCATCATCCCTTTTTTGACCGCTGATTCGCCAGATATCTTTTAATAGAAGGCGAGCCTTGACGGTACACGGTATACAGGGCCACTAATCCAAAGAATCCAACCTGTAAAAACATACCTTCAATGTCAGCTGAAACGGCGTGTTTATGCTGACGGAATCTTAAAAGTGCAAAAATGAGGTTTTGAAGGAGATCCGGGCCAACCAACAGAGATTTTTTTCAAGGAAGCGCCATGACACTTCGATGCACCATTGAGGACTCAGCGCACCTTACCGGGTTTAATCGGGTTCAACATCGGGTGATGCGAGAGGTACCACTCACGATCGGCTCGTGATTTGGGATCGTGTGCCTTAACGGTTATGACATATCCTTCTTGTATATCACCTTTAATTGTTTCGGCATATTTCTCACGGAGCGACGGATCCTTATCTAGCCTCCTTTCCAAAAACTTCAATTGAGCAAAAGAGGAAAAATAGTTATTCGGTAAAGTATTTTCATTATTGTTCCAAAGCATTGGTACAATGTGCCTCTCACCATCAAGAAAGGTATCATTTTTCAAAACGGACGAAGCGCGTTTGTCGGCGTCGGAACGAGCAGCTATTTGCTTGAAGGCTCCATATGACTCCAACTCATACCAAGTTTTAATTTGGTCCGCAAGAGACATGTCTTCGACAACACACTTAAAGCAAGACGAGTTCGACTTGAAGGACGGCGGTAACGGACCACTTAAAACTCAACCTATTGGAAGGCGTACGGCGCACGGTGATATAGAGTCCTTCCCCAGAAGGTACTCAACGGGTCTAATTGCATGGTAGAAACCCTGTCCAATAACTATTTCGACTTCCTCATACTTATATTGTATAGGTTTTTTCGGAGCCAACTGCTGGTATTTTTCCTGTAATTCAGGAATATTTATGCTATCCGATCCAATGCGAATATGATTCTTAACATAAGCTCAAAAAGAAAACGAAAATTCACTTTTATTTGCTTCGGCGGAAACTTGAAAACTTGCTTGATGAGTTTTCATCAAGCTCGTGGAATTGAATCCATTTATGGTGAGGTTAACGGGAGTGCCAACCAAATGGAGACATTTTACGAGATCGGCGGATACCCCTGAGTGCGTGGAAGCACTATCGCAAAGAGCTACGGCATTAGTAATCGTTGCATCCGAAAAGACGGCGAGGGATGCAACTGGCACGAGGCCTCTAGTTGAATACTGGCTATGAATATCGCCGACGGCAGCGTTAGTCGATACATATTTATTGTTTGCGTTATCTGACGCCGGGGAATTTTTAGTATCCTTAGGAGGAAAAATTTATTCAGCTCCATGTGAGAGCATGTTGTGCGTGCTTTCACAATCTGGCTTGGGGTACTTTCTGGCCTTGCTACAATTACGAAAACTGTGATTGCTCTGTAAACACGCAAAGCAAAATTTTTGTTCGGCTTCATGTTTTGCCCGTTGCGTAGCGTTTTTCTCTTTAAGTACGGTGCAATTCAAAAGAGCGTGTTGACCTTTACATACAGAACATGGAGGGAATTTTGGTTTTTCCTTAGTCTTATCACTTTCCTTTGCGTTACTAGCAAACACTTTTTCTTTTTTCTTCACTGGTTCTTCAGACTTAAGCCTTAGAATTAATTGTTTTTAGCCTCTCATGACCCTCCGCGTTTCCTTTAAGCCATTCTTTGAAATCTAGCAGAGTTGGTCGATGCCATTGGCGTCTTACAGTTTGCATTGACCATGCCTCCTTAAGGTTTGGGGGAAACTTACTCGCAGCTTGATTCAGTATGTTAACACTTTTCAGGTCGTCGTTAAAAGATAGAGACTTGAATACGGCAACAAGCCCAGAAATTGTAGAGAAAAAGCCAATTACATTTTCCGAATTATGCATTTTCAGCGGCGGAAAGTTTTTCAATTTATCTAGTTGAGCCCCTACTACAGCATGCGGCTGCCCGAACTTTCTTTGAAGAGTTCCTAATGCGTCTTTAAATGGCACTCCGCTATTGCTATACTCAGCGATTGCGGATTTTGCTTTACCTACTACAAGCGTTTTCAGATAGGTAAGCTTTTCATCGTCACTGAGTATGGCTGAATCGACCGTCGATATGAACTGCCCAAACCACTCATGCCAATTAAAAGGGTTGCCAACGATTTGGGTCAGCTTCCACTCAGGCAGATGATCTTTTCGGCTGTGCATAAGTATTTTAATTAACTCTCGTGTCGAAAGTGGACGCTCGACGTCTGCACCAGGTGAATTACCGGGAGTTGGCGCTGGGTAACTTGAAGAGTTAAGGTGACAATCAGGACCGAACGGTTGATTAGCATGTGAAAAATTTTCAGGCTGCGCAAAGAACACAGTCTCTACACTTGTATAAGGAACAAAGTTATTCGGAGGAACAATCGGAGTTACTATGGAAAAAACAGTTGTCGAAGGAACGTAGTGTTGTTGAGCTGACATTAAAGGGGCAGCAACAGCTGGTGTCCACAAATTACTATAAGGATTTTAGTGGTCACTTGAAAAGTTATAACTACTAACAGGAGCACCCATATGTTGTTGTGATGGAATTACAGGTGCTTGGCAGCCAGCTACTACTGATCCTGTAGTTTGATGACTTAAAAAAACCTGAGTAATTGCTGTTGATGCAGGAGCGAACGTTGCTACACCAGAAGGAACGTCTGCAGATGTTGTTGGAGCAAAATAAATTTCAGAAGTTACCGGGACTACTGACCCTGTGTTTGGATTACCTAGCACTGAATGGGTGGACAAAAAAGTTTGCTGAGGTTAATTATTGGAAACAGGTTGAATGACCTGCTGTAACCCTACTGGATTGTTAACGGAAATCTGCGATTGGACCAAATTCGACAAACTATGTCGTTGTCCGTGAATGTGGTTACTGAAATACAATCCCGGATCACTAGAAGCTGCCTGGCCATTATTCACTCCTGTAAAACTTGATGAGACCATGTAATTTGTTGATGCAGGATAAGTTATCTCAGGAGCTGTCGAACGAACGTGCTGCTCTTGATTGGAAACACCAACAGAGTCAGGCTGTTTGTGGTCGACAGATTCGACCCAGTGACGCGTACGATCCTTTTCGTCTATTGTTAGTTGTGGAGAGATTCGAGTTAAACCACTTTCTTCAGCATTCTCGCTGATTTCCGACAACCATATTCTCACTCAAGCCCTTTCAACTCAATTTCTGCCAGTTTTTCCTGTGTTCTTCAGCCAATTCTTCCAACTCTAAACTGCCTTGTTGTTCTAAAGAATTTTGTTTCATCTTGTTTTGCTGCTCTTTCAGTCCTAATGACACCATTGCCTGCCTCTCAAGTTCCTCTTGTTGTTTCTTTAAAATCATTAAATTGCGCTTTTTCTCAGAATGTGTTTTCGACAGAGCGGCGGTATAACGACTAGATTTCTGAGAACCCGATTGCTGATGGCGGCTGCTTCGGTGTGACAACTTAGAGCGGGTATCTGTTTTATGTGATTGTGGTTTTTCACTTTTTTCGGAATGATGAGAAATTTTTGAGCTGCTATCTATGTTGTCCGGCTCTGTTACTACCTCAAAACTTGTTTTATATGTGATAGCTTCCTGCAAAACTTTATCGTTGCTTTGAGTCAACTTATGAAGCCACATATTCTGTGCCGGTATCAATTCGTCGGGGTTGGCACTTTTTTTAGCCATATCAATCAACTCATTATTTACCTCGACCGCTTGTTCTATATAGTTCCTACATTTTTAATAAAGGTATCATTTTTTGAGCAACGACTCTGACTTTCTATGTATTCCAAAATTATTTTGTGGCAATTATAAAGTTCGTTTTTGAGATTGCTACGTTTCTCGAACAACTTCTTAATTTTCCTTCTGAAACCTAACTTGCTTGCTTAACGATTTTTAGGCGACAAACGGTTCTGCTTCTTCTTAGCTTTCAGTGTACTTAGGTCAGCACTGTATCGTCTAAGTAACAACAGAGTCTTCAACTCAAGTGAAGGGGCTGGTGCAGCTCTTTATACTTTTCGATAAGTATTTGGTCTTTGGCCTTTCGCTTTGAGATAAAATCCTCAACTATGTTAACAACGAGAATACTTGTCTTTCTTAACTCTTTTTCTATATTGTCCGTACCGTTGCGGCGACAGTATACAATAGCGGTAATATTCTCCCTGTATCGTAAAAGAAAGCTCTTAAGTTGGTCAGTACTCAAACTACGGTAGTTGTTACTGCGGTGCTTACTAATGGAGTTATTTATGGCGTCGTGCCAAATAACTAGATCTTTCCAATTCCACAAAAAATAATGCAGATAGAATTGGATAGTTTTATGCGAGTCCCTGGCGTTAGAGTTAAAGCTTAAACCGGGCTTTGTGAAACAAGTCTCTTTCACGCGCTTTTGCGACGGTGCGGATAGTTTACGGAGCGCGTGGTCTAGAGAACTGGCCCCTAGTATGAACACCATACGCTAAGAGCCCTTATTCGCGGCGATAGTTACCAATGGGGATGGAAATTAAGTATGTCGGTTGAACTGCAACAATAACGCTGAGGATACCCGAGGATGAGCAAATTCAACTTAACCTATTTAATATCACCGTAGCTGACCACATAACATTACTGTGACAAAACAGAGTCAATGAGTGAGCGGGTAAACAGGTGCGTTGGAGAGGGCAACTTAAATTTTAGTTAACCAACAAGGTAGGGAATCAGGCAAATTGGTTGAATTCCAACAACCACGCGGAAGAAACCTAAGGATGAAAAAACTCAACTTAACTTGCCTGACACTGCCTGCCCAGACCACTTAACATAAGTTGAAATCGAATAAATAAGCGAATTTGGGATTTTTATGACGTAGTTTTCAACAATATTTGATTTTTGTGTGGTTTTAACGAACTAAAAGTAACGGTTATCAAAAATTTCCTACAGAATTGACGGTTCGAGGGTTCGCGTCCGAAACTTATCCTAAAAAATGATCTAGTACCTTTGTCTATGTTCTGTTTTTCTGGATTTTCAATCAGTTCACAATCCATCCGTTCACAATAAAAAATGATCTAGTACCTTTGTCTATGTTCCGTTTTTCTGGATTTTCATCCGTTAACAATGAAACCGTCTTTTACGGAGATGATTCAGTCGGTGAACGTAGTTCGAACTCTTTTATACGTCGAGGTGTTTTTTTTCAGGAAAAGTCCTAAAGTTTGGTCAGCCTCAATTTTAGTTTTTCGTAGTTAGACTTCTGATTTCTGTTTATTTTCAGTTCATTTCTTTTGTTAAAAGCAAGGTAAACTGCACTCTCGATCAGCAAATATTTAATCGTCACGAAAAGCGTGATCGACTTACAGATTTGGAAACCTGCTTCTAAAAAGGCTAAACTTCACTTAACTTTTTTTCATTCCGTTTTTGAGGCTCAAAAGTGTTTGACAGAAATCAAATATGTGACTTTCAAAGTATTTATGTTATGAGATTGAATTGCACTTGCTGTCCATGTTGTAAATTGTAGGTGGAAATTGTAGTAGCACTCTCTACAATCTTCTTTATTGCAATTTCTGTGATTGCGGCGACATCATTTTAACACGTTTAAAAATTTGTTTCGGTGTTCCAGAAACCTACACATGCCAAACAGTGCGCGTATCGAGGGAACAGTTTGACCTCGTAATAATGCAAATTTCTGCGACTTAACTTACTTGTATGCATGGCACAGGCACGTACGCAGCATCTTACTCTGCGCAAAATTAATATTTTTCAATAATTCATATCTTGATGTTTTGACTTTGAGAGAATTTTTTTGTGGTTTTTAAAAATACTAAATGCAATCAATAAGTCAAATATGATATCACAATGGATAAACTAAAAGATTTCCTTGAATTGTTTGCAAGTTTGTGTGAATACTATTCTGTTTTGGAGCAAAACCAAGAAAAAAAACTGAAAATAAGCGATTGAGTTGAGTATTTGTTCAGATAAGTTTTAGGGGTCGAGTTTAAGAAGCTTTGTTTGTTTAAAAAGCGGCACCAATTAAAATTGGGGATTTTTTCATGATGGGGATAAAGTTTAACCAGTCAGATTCTTTTGCACGCTCCTATTGGTTTTATCACTTTTGCACAAATTGAAGTTGATATTAGCTGAAAACGAACTATAGTAGCGCAACAGTTCAGTTCTTGGGGCATGCAATAAATGCTTCGTTTTGTTTAAGTTGAAAAAAAAATCGGTTGTTGTTTTTTTTAATACCAAATTTTCTTGATTTTTTTTCCAGATTTTTGAATGCTGAATTCTGATTAGCTGAAAAATACTGCACATATAATTCCAACACTCGGTCCGTACATCATAAGGGATGCCACCATAAAAATGGCTATTTTTCTCGTTTCAATTTCCGTCCGGCCGTTTAAATCATTCGTCAGGTTTTTTTGGGATGAGTAAAAACAGTATTCAAAATAATATTTGGCACTGTTGAACAACAACTAAATTTCGGCACTGCTGTACTGCCCCGATCAGGGTTCAGCACTAACACACAGTCTAATTCATCGTTCAAGCTTCGTTTTACGTTTCCGTCTAAATTTCTAGGGTTATTCTGTATGTATACTGAAAATCCGTAATTTTGCTATTATGCCAGTTCAAGCATGGCACTAAAAGAAGCTAAAATGGATTTTTAACATGAATTTTGCAATGATCTTTTTCTTAATAAAATTTTGAAACAATTTATCTTCTTGCGTATCTCTTTTCTTTCCAAATCAGGCTTGGTAATCCCAATAACTTTAATTTTTTTTAATGAGGCCTACATCTACTGGAATGCTGAAATATAACGATTCATTTTGCTTTCATGATGATTCTGTGCTCGCTGTACTCAAATTAAGTTCCTTTGAGGAAAAGAAAATGTTAAGTGCAATAGCAAATATTCAGCGGTTGGTTTTCAAAAATGAAAAATTTAAAAATCTATTAATTTTGTTCACGTTTCAGCATCACATTCTTCTTTGTTTTCACGTGGGTTCTGACTGTTCTGAACTGACTTCCCTGAGGAAACCGTAATAGCCCCAATAGACTAATTGGAATAGCAGAAATAGAGATGGGAATGCGTATCTGGAGCAGAGTTCGATCCTGGACGCAGTCACTGTCCTCGTGGAAGGAAACTGTTTTGCTTTTGGCATCGAACAGCGCATCGCTTTGTACTCGTCTGAAACATGAGAGCGAGTTTTTACATTGAATTTTCCATAAACGATAATTTCGATAGTAAAAAATGGATTTTTGTTCATTTTCCTATCCTGCATTTTTTATATGTACTACTTTTGTTCGTGCTGCGCAACTTATAGGAGATTTGGCAAGTAAGTAGGGTATTTTACCGATTCCCCCCAAACTATTTGGTCTGACATACCCTACCCTTTGTCTAAAAAATCTGCTCTTGCGAAGAAAGGAATGAAATAAGATGCGTTATGTGGGGGTGGGGGGGGGGCTTAAAACGAACTCAAAACCAAACGTTATATTTTTGAATTCAACAAAAAATTTTAAGTTAGAACTCAAGAATTGAATTCACTAAAAATGATGCTCAGGCAATGCGGTTAATCAATAGTAAAATAAAAACAACCGGCATATGAAGTTTACTCTAAACATGTGCTTTGTGCAAATCAATACTTGATTATTTGTGACTCGACTCCTACCTTTTCTCGTCCTGGAAACAGATTCTAGAAAAAAGGCAAAATAAACTAATTTACAAATTTGATCAGCAACTATTTTTTCCTTTTCGAAACTAATACAAGTCAACATAAACAAAACTACCAGATTTTTTTCAAAAAACAATAATTAAACTCAGAACGGTAATAGTAAAAGTCTCAAAATAGTCTCACGTGTAAATCTAATTATAATACTGTATTACACATCTTATATGTCAATTTCGCTTGAAAATGCAAGGGATAAAATTTCGGGTAGAAACTTGGAAAAAAATTGCCAAGAAACAAACCGTAAACTACAGGAACCAAACTCAGTGAAAAAAAAATATTCAATGCAATTAAGGAACAGTAAAATCAAAAATTAAAGCAACTTAAAAATTTAGTCTGCTCTGAGCTGAAAAATTGTGCAAATCAAAACGTCACTCTTAGCTTTTCTCGCTCCAAAAAATGACGCTAGGATAAAAATCAAAAAAATTAAATCCGGCCGCCGTTGTTTGACCGCAGAAAAAACTGTTTTGCTTTTAGTATTGAATAATTTTGAGCATATTTTTAATTCATCGAATTCAAACCATGCAGTAAAATTTCAGCCTTGGTTTTGAGCTCTGCTGGCTAAATTTGCGCTCATAACTCTTCTATTTGAGTTTTCAAGTAAGATTTTACTTATATGTCCTGAAATGCGTTATTTTATATTAAAGTATGCAGTTGAGTTTATTTCCTGATAATGTTTTTTTCAACTTCAGGTTTCTTTTTTAGGTACCTTTCAAGTTGAAAAGTACAAAAAAAATACTTACAATTGAAAAAAAACTAAGTCTTGAAACAGTTTCAACTGTAAATTTTAATATATAACATTTTATTTCACGACTTATAAGTCAAATCTCACTTGCAAATTCTAATACAGGAGTTATGAGCAAAAAATTTAGCCAGCAGAGCTCAAAACCAAGGCTAAAATTTGACTGCAGGGTTTGAATTCATTGAAACAAAAATATGTTCAAAATTACTCAATACTAGAAGCAAAACAAGTCTCAAATGAAGTTAACTCTGAACCTTTGTTCTGAAAAAATCAATACAAGGTTAATTGTCACTCTCACCTTTTTTTGATCTGGAAGTAGTTTTGACAAAGAATTGTCTAAGCAGACAAGTTTAGTCTGCAGTTATTTTTACCAAAGTACAATAGTATAAACGTTTTTAAAAGTTTTAAATTAAAAAGAGGGAAAGTATATTTCTTAAATTAAACTTGAGTGGAAGGCATATTATGACATATCATAATAAACTGCGTATAAGTCAGTTCGTACTTGAAAAGTTCAAAAAATAACTATGTAAAACTTTTTCAAAAAACAAATTCCAAAACCAAACCTGAAACTCGACCGCAGGAATTCAACTCAATGAAACAAAAAGTATGCAAAAGCTGTGCGGTTAATCAATAGTAAAACAAAACAAAAATCAAATTGAGTTTATTTTGAACGTGTGTTTTTGTTTTTTAAGCAAATCAAAGCCTGATTAACTGCCACTCTTACCTTTTCTCGATCTTGATATAGATTCTTGAAAAATCAAAATAACCTAGCTCAATCAGCACGTCAATTATAACTGAAAAATACCTAAAAGTTTGAAAATTAAACCAAAAGGAAGCAAAATAATGATACAATTAGTATTTAAACAGAAGTTTTATGAGAGAAACTCGTACTACACGGTGTAAAAGCTCATTTTTTACACAAAAGTTTTTCAATTGTGAAGCTTTATTTTAAGATCATTTATCCACGGGGTAAAGGACCAACATACGAGCTGTACAGCTTATCACGGCGAACCGCTGTTGTGCCCTGTTTAAGAACTACATACAATTTTTTTTTGGTTATTTTTCTGGGCTGGGTAGTGTTGCTTCAAGCAACGAGCACGGATCATGGTGGGCCTCGAACATCCGACCTTTCGATTGAGAGGCGGAGACGTAACCACTTCACCACCGCTCCCCAAATTTGATAATAAAGAAAAAGAGGGATCATTTTCCTGAAAAACAACAATAAGTAAAATGTAATCAAACGAACCATGAAAAATGCGGGAAAGGACTGAAAAAAAAAGTAATTTACCGAGAAAAACTGAGCGAAACAAAAACAATGAAACGATCAATTGAAATATATTTTTGTTGAAATTTTTTTTATGATTATCTCTGACAGAACTTTTAAATTAGATATTATGAAAACTCGATAGCTATCATCATAAGTTCTATTAACTTACCTTGTGAGAGAAAGATAGACATAGATACAAAAACATTTTAGAGGTTTGTTTGAGTAGAAAAGGCGCGAGAGGGAGAGCATGCGGGAGAAAGGGGGAGCGGATCTAGTTAACAATCGCCCTTTCTATGGTGTCTACAAAAGAATTGCCAACCCATAAATCGAAGCAGTAATTTAGCACTAGAGCGTTCTATGTAAAGCTCGAGTTTGGGAGGCGGTTGTATTAAGTGAAAAGTAGATTAGGCGAAAAAAGTGTTCATATTAGGTAAAAATTTTGATCATAATCAAAAGTTAGAGCCGGTTATAGCCGGCTCACCGGCGACCTCCAACCGACACTCGGCTTTGCAGTCTTTGACCGCTTCTTGCCAATGCCGTATGGGAATTAAATAGGGGATGCATGCTAAAAGAAAAGTATACACTGATAATCTTACAATTTTTGCCTTATATTAACTTCGCCTAATTTTCTCCCATTTTCGCCTAATATTTTCTTATAATTCATACAGTCCCCAATTTTGTTGTTTTCAATTTCATTTTTAATTGAGGGGGCGAAAATAGTCAATGGAGACCAGTTCAAAATCCTCCCCAAAAATGGTGTTAGATTGACTCTAAAAGGAAACTTCACCCACTTAGAATGAAAAAAGTATCTTATAAGCAGCGCTAATTCTCGCAATCCATACTGCGATTGAAAAAGGGTGAATAAAAAAAGATTATGAAAAATTATAACATTGTCCTAAATTAGTAGATTTAGTAGGGGAAGGGCAGTAGTCAGGGGCGGATCTAGGATTTTCTCGAGGGGGGGGGATTTTTAAGAAAACTTTCGAAAATTTTGACAACCTTTTTTTAAGGTCGACCAAACTGATCTCCTAAAGCGCTAAAAAGACACTGTTTTGGCCCAATTTTCTGCGCCGCAGGCAAATTTTTGAAAAACAGGTCAAAAAAGCCGTTTTTGGGCACTTTTTAGAAAATTTTGACAAAAAAATTGCGTTTTTTTTTGGCGTGCGCTTCCCCTCAAAATGAGTATATATTGGCGCCAAAGGCGCCTTTAGAAAAATTTTAGGGTCGATTTGCCAAAAATGAATTTCTTAAAAAGTACCAAGGGGGGACCCTTTGGGTCGGCAGGGGGACGATTCTCTGAGAGGGAGGTGATAGCCCCCCCCCCCCCCCCGCCCCCCTAAATCAGCCCCTGCTTGGTAATTAAGTACAGGGACGAATCTAGGATTTTCTCGAGGGGGGAGTGGGGGAAATTTCAATTTTTGAAAATTTTGGCTTTTTTTAGGTCGACCAAATTGATTTTCCGATTGATTTTCATACTTGTTCGCTAGAGACCACACCCTATGATCATACTTGAACCCAGTAGCGGATTTAGGGGGGGGGAGGGGAGGCGGACGCACTTCATTTAAGGATTCGACCCCCTGTCGACCCAAAGGATCCCCCTTTGTACTATTTTGAGATATCTGTTTTTGGAAAAATTTTCTAAAGGCGCCTTTGGTGCCAATCCATACTAATTTCGCGCGCCAATTTTTTGGTCGAAATTTTCCAAAAAATGCCTAAAACGCCTTTTTTGGCTTTTTCAAAAACTTTTTTGCGGCGCAGAAAAGTTGGTCAAATTAGGGTCTTTAAAGTGGTTTGGGAGAACTCAGAAAATCATTTTGGTCGACCTAAAAAAAGGTCGACAAAATTTTCAAAAATTTTTTGAAAATCCGCCCCCCCCCCCGAGAAATTCCTAGATCCGCGCCTGCTTGAACCCTTTATTGGAATTTTATTTGGCTGTATTTACCCAGTACAGACAGTGCCTGTGAGGACAGTTCCAGCGGTGTGGGGGAGGTGGTGGTGCTGATTCTGTGGGGAATGTTGACGGAGAATGAGTCTGCGATCTCACTCATCAACTGTGCCTCCCTCTTGCTCTGAAGTCCATCCATGTACGCCTACAAATCGAAATCCACACATAACTTAGAGTAAATAAAAAGGCCAAAAATATAAAAACTAAGACTTTTGAACTAACATGGGCACTTCGCACCTATGTGTTTTTGAGGGTCGGTTCGAGGACCCAAACTTTATGTCCAAACTTAGAAAATCGTGCCGTGTTCAATCAAGACGCAACTTGCATAGTCACAACAAAATTTTATGTCGTGAAAGTTGCGCCGTGTGTCGTATGCTAATTTTTGATAAAATAGGCCAGAAAAGGCGTTTTTAGGCACTTTTTGGAAGTTTTTGACGCGCTCCATCCTCAAAATTAGTATATTTTGGCGCCAAAGGCGCCTTCAGAAAACTTCTAGGGTCAGTCAGCCAAAAGTGGATATATCAAAATAGTACTAAGGGGAACCCTTTGGGTATCGGCATGGGGTCGAATCCCTGAGGGAGGGGGGGTCCGCTCCCCCTAAACCCGCTACTGGTTGAAATTGAACAGAATAGAATGGCTGGGCTAAAACAGATTTGATGTTTAATTAGCTTTTAACAAGCTTTAGCAGCAGGTATAGGGCCTTCGCGACTTCATCCCTAAAATTTTGCAACCAAATTTTTGCATGTCGAGACTTTCGCCACCCTATGTCTCAATTTTCGTGACTTTATGTTTACACTGTCGGAGCCAATTTTTGGTATGTCAAAACTATTGTGAACTATGTTGTGAATCGTTTTAAGCTCAACATTTGATGGATGATATGAACAAATCGAAATTCATTATGTTTTCAGCAATTCAATTGATGAAAGTTCAAACAAGGTTCACCCTGAAACTAACAAGAGAGTGGTTTCGCAGACAAATCATGTGAACTATTTAGGTGCGATTATCGATAAGTGGTTGACCTCCATACACGAAAACTAATTTTCATACACTTACATGCAAGCAAAGTGCGTATCGTAAAATTTCATACAGGCAACGAGTGTATGGAAAATTCCATATATGAAAATTATGTGACAAGCATTTTTTGTATTGCTCAGAAAAATCTCCGAGGTACTAAAAAAAAATCCAGGAAATTTCTTTCATTTTTTAGTCTCAATGTCACTTCCGCCAATTTTTGGCACTCCAGATCAATTGTCCCGATCACTCATATGAGCTCTATGAGAGGGCAAATAACTTTAGTTTTACTAAAAAATTGATCTACTAAAACCTTCTGTGTTCACTAATTTATTCTTTACCGTCTAAAACGAGAGAAGTATTGGTTTCTTTTCTGATCAGGGCTCTTTTTATTTACCTCACATGCTGACATGAGTATCAATATTATGATATTACTAGCTGTTTTACAAGAAACATAAAAACCAAATATGTTTTTCATGGCATAATTATTCTGCCTGCCGTTTTTTGAAGAAACTAGGCAAAGTGAACAATGAATTGAGCTTGTAAAACTTGGGGGGGAGAAGTGGGCTGGGAAGAGGAAAAAGATCCAAGAACAGCTAAAGGTAATCAAACTTTAAGTCAAACACAAAAAATGTAAAGTAAAACACGACTCCCGTCTAAAAAACAGTGAAAATTTTTTAATGAGATTCTAATTTCACTACATTCGGAGGTACTCGACTTTTTTAGACTTTCACAGTCGCGCCATTTTAATTTCGGGACCGATAAGTAATAGCCTGGACAAAGACTAAAACAGTGAACTTGGGTCGTGGTTGTTTGAAAAAAAAATCACAAAAGTCTGAAAATGAGTTGCGATAGTCGGAACTTAACGTCGCGACAGACTGGGACATGAGTCGCGGGCTTGGAAGCAATAATCTCAACCGAAAGCCCGAGAAGTGATATTTGGAAGAAAAGTTTCTGAAATTCGTCCGCGACAGGCTGAAATTACCCAAACTCGGCCGCAAAAAAATCTAAGAATCACAACATCAGCGAGAGTACTTAACAAATCCTCCTTTCTTGGAGAAAGATTATTAAGAAGATCCCTAAATATAGATCACTGATTACATAATTTCCTCGCAATTACCTGAGCCTTGTCCTGTTTGGCTTTGATCTCCGCCTTTTCCTGTTTCTCCAACATGGCCAGATAGACAACTGTAGCGAATTCAAAGAGACCCCCAAACACAAAGAGGAAGCAGATGCCAAAGTAGATGTCGAGTGCTTTGATTGTGGACACGTTTGGGAGTTCGGCGTTGGTGGAGCCAATCAAAGTGATGAGACTACAAATACAAAAAGTCATTTTCGTATTTCAGCTATTTCGCAACCAATCAAAACGGATTTTGTGTTCATTTTCAGATCATTTTTAAGCTCCTTCTCATCCGTTTAACTGTCGTACTTTTAAAACACTTTTTTTTCTAATTGATTTTTCTTTGAGGAAACTCTTCGCTTTCATGCATTTAATTTCGATTTGTGCATTGGTTTCAAATTGTTATTAAAAATATTCATAATCCGGTAGCTAATCACATTTTGGTGTCATAATCCGTGTCACATTAAATTTGGCATTTATGCTGGTATTTATACCCCGCCTGGTGTTCAAAAGACCGCCATTTCTTGAAGCCGAAACTACGCCAGAAAAACGATTACTACAACAAAATTACGCAGTATTTGCATAACAGCTGTGACAAACTTTAGTTGCATATAAAATTAGTTTTAGGCTTATTGGAATAGTTATCTTAATTTCGACTGGTTGGCTTTTCGGCTTGTTGGCCTACCACTTTATGCCCCCACTATATCTTATCCCCACTAGCAATTAAGAACTACAAAGTGTCGTTTGGTACGAATTATTGCCTGGCGCAAACCATCGCTATTTTGAAAGGGTGACGAACCGACCCGGATTAAAGTGTTCGAATTCTTCTGTTTCTTCTGAATTCGTTCGAACACACGGATGCTGTTCTGCCCAAAATCCGTGGTCGAAACATAGTAGATCACTATTTTGGATCATGGTCCAACACAAAGTCGAAATTAAAGTTTCGTCCAAACATAGTCGAACACAAAGTATGGTCGCGACATAGTCGACGACAAAGTAAAACACAAAGTTGTCGAAACATTGTCGAACAAAAAGTCAAATACAATGTGTGGTTGAACCATGGTCGAACTCAAGGAATGGGCTACACGTGATCTTCGACAAAAGTCCGAGAAGCCATGTTTGGCTCTTTTCCAGTTCCCTTCTTTGATTTTTTCGGAAATTTAATACGTGGTCAACGTTTAAGGTGAATGTTAAGGTTTGACTATCAGGTTTGAGTATCAGTTTTATTGTATATCTCGCCTTTAGACCTAAAATGTATTTGATTGTGACAAAAATTTACCTGGAGGATAGAAAATCACTGCCCAATTGACGCCTTCTTTGTCCAAAAATGTATAATCTAGGCTTTTGTTTCATAAAAAACTTTTGGTATGAAAAAATTACAAAAATAAAAAAATTTGCAGCTTAATGACGTCCTGCCAATCTCTGTCTTTGTGAACGAGGAAAAAGTAAACGTGAATTAATAATAATAGCCTTAGATTGGAAATCATTGACCAAAATTATTATTATCAAAATACCTTAGCACGGTAGTGATTGATAGACATGCTCTGCCCGGTATTCCCTCTCTGTTGATCCAGAAGGCAACCTAAAAGAGACCACATCTCAGACAGATGATATTTAGGCGAGTGGTGGTGAATGGTTGCGTCTCACAATCCTAATCGAGATGTTCGAGGCCCACCATTTTTCATGCTTGCTGACCATACCCAGCTCAAAAAAAATCAATAAAATTTACATTTAATTTTTAAGCAGGGGCGCAGCACAAATCTCCGTAATCAGCTGAACAGCTCGTATGTTGTTCCTTTCCCTTGTAAAAAAAAATCAGTTGAATCTATGGTGGCCCAGAATGAAGAAGAAAACGCTTGTTTTTATTTTATCAAAATTTGACAAAAAAATGTCCTATGGGGAGTCGATCAAGGGAGTAAACTAGCAAGATCTAGCAAGAATCTCTTACAGATTATTTTAAAGATGATGCATCTTTTTTGAAGCTTTGACAAGATTTTTGCAAGATCTTGAAAGATGATTTTTCTAAGATAACTATTTTAAAGCAAGATCTTAAAAAATCTGATTTTTTTGTGGGAAAAATCCACTATACCCAAAAGACAACCTATAGTGTTTGCGTAGGAAGGATGAAAAACAAGTAACAAGTGGTAACATTCGAATGCTTAAGCAAATCAACGAAAAACTATAGCCGCAAAGCGTAAGGTGAAAATAATTAATTACTTTACCTATGTGAACACAGCATTCAAAATATCTCTTTCTATTGATTGAAGTTTTGCCATAATTGACAAAAGTTTAACTCCTAACTGCTAGAATTGCAAAACTAGATGGGTTAATTCCGAATAAAATCTAAACAATATATTGCTGAGCATTTTAATTTGAAAGGCATAATTGTAACCACAATCTGTAATTTTTTTTATTACGAAATTTATATATATACAAAAATTTTTTCAAAAATTATTCATTCTGTGTATTTTCCGATTTTAAATAAACAACCGATTCTTTGTGTTTTTTGTCAACTGGAGGCTTGCATAACTTTTTGTGAAAAGTAATTTTTTGAAATTTATCTTGCAAGTTCTTGCAAGAATACCCTCCCCCTTTCAAAATTCTTATTTGCAAGACCTTCCAAGATAACCCTTTTTGATCGACTTGGTTTAAGTTTTTTTCACTCTTATTTTTTTTGTTTTTTTTATTTCAAACAAAACTCAATTGCTTAATGAATCTCCTAAAACAAAGAGCTAATAGCTTGAAATATCTTGAATGACTTTTAGTTTCATATTTCGCTGGGTAGTTGAATAATTACGAAAAGAACCAGTACTCTTTAATTAGGTAAAATTTATATAATCTTTTGAAAAATATAAATTTCAAAAGTTTTATTTAACTCGATATATTTTTTCTTCGAAACTCAAAGTTCAAAAAAAATTTCCCTGCTTTTTTAAGCGTTTTATTGGTATATTTAATTCATTAGCACTTTTCTGATGGTCTGCTGGCAGTGGCGTAATCAGAAATTATTTTAAGGGGTTGCGGTTTTTCGAAAAATGTTTAAAATTTTGCCTACCTTTTTTTATAGGTCGAACAATTTTATATTCCCCTTTAAATAAGAAAAAAAACAGGACAAAAAAGGCGTTTTAGGAATTTTTCGAAAACTTTGATAAAAAATTTGCGTTTTTTGGCGCGCGCTCTCCTCTCGAAAATATTCATATTGGCGCCCAAAGCGCCTTTAGAAAAATTTTTAGGTTGGTTAGCAAAAAATGGATGTTATTAAGTTATACAAAAGGGAGCCACAATTTAGCAGCCAGAGTTGAGGGAAGGGTGGTCGCCCCCCTCGGCACGCTACAGTCTGCTGACTATGCTTAGCACTATATGATTATGCAGATATTCAAATTATCTTTTTCGATAATGCAGGCTTCAGTTTGTAACGAGAAAAGGTTCTTAGCGAACGAGCATCAGTAACAGGTAATGATTCGCATCAAGTGATTCAAGTCTTGAGCAAAAAAGATTCATTGAAGTTAACTTTATATCAAAAGCAAAAAAAAAACCTTACACAAAAAAAAAACAAAATTTAAGTTCACTCAAATTGGCCACTTGCCCCGGAAAACATAAAACAAATAAATGAAAATGAATATGTCGAAATTAATAACGTTTTATAACCTTGGGATCATAACTTTTTTGGTGTTGGTTTTGTAGTTTGCTTAACTGTTTTTAGGCATAGAATACTCGTAAAGGATTTAATACTCAAAAGACCAACCACTCATTAATAGTCGCAAGAATTTTATATCTGACCAATCAAATCTTTCTTGAGGAGTTAAGAAATTTTTTCCACAAGGGAAAGGACCAACATTCGTGTTGTTCAGCTTCTCACGGATAACCGCTGATGTGCCTCGAACATCCGACCTGTGGTTTGAGAGGCATAGACGTAACCACTTCTTCACGATTTATCTACTGAATTCTATTTCTGACACATAAAGTACAAAAATAGAGTTACTCACCCATGAACACATGACAATAAATGTAGAAGGAACATAGCTCTGTAGAATGAAGAACAACAAATCTCGTTTGAGGTGGAAATTGACTTGCAATTGGATGAACGACCCTGTAGAGAAAGAAAAAGTCTGGTTGGTCAGAACGATCTTCTCCATTTTGAACTGGGCCAGATGAATACTGCTGTTTTTCACTGAAAAGCAAAATATGAAGATAATTTTTTATTGTTAACAGGTATTAAACTGAAAATTTGTAAACCTTTGACATAATCTGCGCCAGGTAAAATTGCGCCAAGCATTCATTGGATAGAAAGCAATTTTACGTAGTTTTTTAAAGATTTTCCTGAGCCAAGAATCACGTCGTTCAATTGACGTTAAATAAGAACTATGCTTGTTCCAGAAAAAGTAAAAAATAATCATGATAACTATTATTATTGGGCACAAGTCTTTTTAACTTATAACTTCGCAATATCTCTATACTATAAAAACTTATAATAACAATAATTCAAAACCGGCATCTAGTTTCAAGCCTTAAAAATCGATTATGTTATGATTTTAGTACCAGTCGTACTGAAATTGACTAAAAATTGATTAATAATTGGTTATAATTTTTCTTTTAAAAATGAAATATAACGCACTATAATATATTTTAATCGATTGTACTCAATTTTTAATTCATCTACTTTTCGATGCAATTATAATTGATCATTTTTGATAATAATTGATTATTTTTAAATTAGATTAATTAATTTTTTTTTATTGTTTTTTGCTAAGCTTCAATTCATGTGTTGAGCAGAAAAAACCCGTTATAATCGATTAAAACCGACTAAAAATAAAAATCCCTTTTTTTGCAATTTTTGATCTTCTACTTTGCATCTGAATTGCTATATTTTATGCCTTTTGTAGATGTTGGTGTACCCTAGTGTAGACTTAAGTGAAAAATGAGAAAACTTTTGTTGAAGGTTTTCAAATCAATTGAAATTCATATTTAATTATTTATCTTTTTTCTTTGTTTATATCTTCATTGAAGTTTTTTTGATGAGCTTCTTAGTCTTTTAACCACCAAGATATCAGCGGATTGTTTTAGTTTCAAGATTTTTTTCGAAATATTTTATTTTTCACCTACCGCGGGAACCTTTCAACTAAAAAGAAAGGATCTCTATGAAAGTTTTATTTCGTGGTAAAACTCTGTGTTCAGAAGAACAAAAGTGTGACAAGACATCTCGCTGTCTGGAGATTTTTTTGACAAAAAAATTGCTCATTGGATAAAATCAAAACTAATTTTAGGTGTAGCAAAATTTGCAAAAAATGAGAAATTATAACCGACAATAATTGATTTAAACAGTTTTTTGGATGAACTATTATCAATTGTAATCAATTATAGTCTCTTGGAAAAAATATCACGATTATAAATCCTTAAAACCCTAATTTTGGTAGCTAGAATCAAGTATAATTGTCAAAAAATCAACAAAACATTTCGGTATAATCAATTGTTTACGCCTCAATTTGGATGCGGGAACTACGCAATACTTATGTTTATTGTGCTCAACGCAAATTTGTCTGTAGAGTCTAAAACAAAAAAGAAAAAGCTTTGTCTCAGATTCAAGAATAGAGAGCATTCTTTCATTTAATTCTTGCAGCGGAATCTACAATCTGATACTTTAACAATGGTGAGATTGGCGCGAAACCCTCAACTGTTTTTCAGAGAAACCAGCTTTCATTAATAGTAGTAGATTCAACGGATAAGAAAGTCAGTATCAATTGCTTTAACAATGAATTTTGAAATTCGCAAAAAATTGAAACACTTTGCACCAGAATACTCAAACCTACAATAAAAACCAACATTTACTCTGATATCACTCCGATCAGGGAACTATAGTGACACATAGAACTTCTCCAGATGAAATGTTTCCAGGAAATAAAATTTATTGCTCAAAAATAAAAAAAATCGATTTCGACCGATTTGTCAACTTACTTCATTCTCTGAAAAAATCTATTCTCAATTTTTTTGGCTGAGAAAATGATAGTGAGCTCAGCAAATGATAATGCTTTTTATTATAAGTTTCATTAAAAAAATTACAAAAAAGACTACTATTTCAATGAATGGTTGACGCAGACTTTTCCTGTTTTCCCGGTGTCTCCTAGCCGGCAGAATAATTCCTATTGCAAGTCTTTATCTACTGTTGGATAGAAATTGTTTTTATAAAATAAGAGTTTTGATAGTGAAATCAGTAACGTTTTTTTCACACTATAGAAAGATACATCTAGCACTTTTATTTTGGCTGCAATTATGAAACCAAAAAATTTTCATACAGTTATGTACGAAAAACAAGAGTAACAGTTTGTTATCCGACCCTAAGCAAGAAAAAAATGAGCAAATGTTTTTTCACTCATCATATACTTTTCAAAATTATTTCTTTTAAGCTTGTTTTGGTACTACTTAATAAATGGGTTAGTTTTAACTGAAAAATACACGTTATATACATAGTTTCTAGCTAAGAATTAGCATGAAAAGATTAAAAAAAAAACTGAAAAGGACTCCATCAATTTAACGATCATCAAGCGTTAAGCATATTTGTTCTTGACAATTTAAAAAATCCAGATCAGTAATTTCTAGAAATTATTTTCATCGTAGCCAAATTATGGCTCAAAGGGTTGTTTTATGAAACCAAATTTGACTTCTGACAAGTTTTATCAGTGCAGTGAAAATAAATGAAAATCAAGTGGAATTAATCAACTTTCGCCATTGTTTTTCACCGTCCTTTAGTGACGTGGTCGGACCAAAACACTTCCCCAAAAAAACAGTTTTTCCCCGTTTGTTTGATATAATGATACTTTTAGGTCGCATAAACACTTCAGTATGATGACCAAAAAATTCGTTTTATAGATTTATTCATATTGCTCGACCAATGGCGAAATTGGCTTTCAAATTAGCAAATCAACCTAGTGGTCAGAAGAATTTTCAACGGTTTTTCAGCGCCAACTGATAATTTTGAATTGGGAATGACTCCATTTTGAAACACACTCATTTGTTTTGCCTCTAAATCAAACTTTTTCATTTTCTTTTGGAAACTTTTCGGCTGAAGTTTTTGCAAAATATAAAAAAATAAATATATATAAAAAAAATATATATATAATAGGCGAAAAATGGTCCTGTAGGTCACAAACGAAATATGATATACAAAAAACAGTTTTGCGAACTAAGTTGCTCTACGTTTTAGAAATAATCATTTAACCACTTAATCTTAACTTTAAAAAATCACACTTATTTGAAGACCAACTGATAAAAATCAAAATAAAGCCGTGCAAACATCCAATATCAAATGATCAGAAATAAAAAAAGAGATTTACCACTTAAAAGAATAGAAAATGGGGTGAACGTGCAATCAACTAGATGCATGCTGCAGCGTAATTTACAAATGTGTATCACTTAGTTTGTGTATCACTAACAGGGGCGGATTTAGGGGGGGGGGCGGGGGCGGACGCCTTTTTTCCTCAGGGATTAGACCCCCTGCCGACCCAAAGGGTTCCCCCTTTGTACTCTTTTGAGATATCCATATTTAGTGACGGACCCTAAAAATTTTCTAAAGGCACCATGTGCGCCAATATATACTTGCTTTGAGGTGGGAGCGCGCGCCAAAAAAACGCAATTTTGTTGGTCAGAATTTTCTAAAAAGTGCCTAAAACGCGTTTTTTGGCCTGTTTTTCAAAATTGTGCCTGCGGCGCAGAAAATTTGGCCAAAACAGGGTCTTGTTAGTGCTTTGGGAGAGCTCGATCTGGGAAAATCTATTTGGTCGATCGGACGACCGAAAAAAAAAGGTAAAAGGTTGACAAAATTTTCGAAAATTTTTGAAAACCCGCCCCCCTCGAGAAAACCCTAGATCCGCCTCTGATCACTAATAAAAAATAGAGGACGGTACAAGTATGATATTTATGCCCCAAGAAAAAGCAAGTATGAAAAATGGGTCAGGCATTTTTGTGAAAACTTCCAAAGCACAAATAAACAAATGCGAACCATGTTTTCGAAGACTTTAAGGCCTAAAAAAATTTCTTCTGGGACCCATCTAAATTTTTGGGACCCAACTATCATACTTTACCAAGAGGTGAAGATGCAATTCACAAGCACAAGCTTGATCTAGGAGAACTTAGTCAGGTGACAAAAATAAATCTGAATAGTGGCAATTTGAGAAAATCGAATATTTTGACAAAATTCAGTTTGGAATGTTTTCGGAGCCCCGACAAATTTTGCGCTTGCACTTATAGAACTTAGGGTTGACCTTTTTCCAAAGTTTAGGCTCTTGGCATCACTTTTGATTACGTTAAAAATTGTTTCAACAGCTTGTGTTACTATCCTCGGCGTCGGTTGCATTTGATCGCTGGATTATATGAAAAAAACTGTTTAGAACCTGGACACAAAAATTGGAAAAAACCGTGGTCTAACCTAAGTTTTTCCTTGAGCAATTGTCAAAACCGAAATCTGATTAGATGATTTACTTAAATAACCAAAAAATTATTTGTGCAGCTAATGTCTATGTGGTGGTTTTAAGTTATCCATTGAAAATTTATCACAATTGAAAAATTCAAAATGCCCAAGCCCTCGATCATTTTACTTATGCAAAAAAACTAAGCGTTCAGTATAATTTTGATACCTCAGAAAGAATATGGTGAAAAAAATGAGTTTTTTTAACCAATCTTTTGTTATTTCTGTTCCGACCATTGAAAATGGGGATGAGCTTTGTATACAAAGTTGTTTTAGTTTTTTTCCCATGTGAAATTAGGCAATACAAATAATCAACGGACTGTTTTGAGTGATATATCATATTAGAGCCCTTTCAGTCGCGATTCGGGCGACATTTAAAACTTCTTTAAAAAATTCGCAGTTTCAAGAAAAACCGATTTGAAAGTTTTTGATTTTTTGTCTCTCTACTTAGGCTATCTATGGTGGGAACATTCTGTGCTACTTGCACAAAAATCGGCTATAATCGAACGAGTGAACCGATCACGTAACGTTTGTTATGAAAGAAAATCACAAAATAGGCAAAAAAATAATATATATTTTTGGGAGCCTTTTAGAGTGCAAAAAAACCTGGAAATTTTTTAAAATCTTTTGTTTTTTTTGTAGAAATTGTTGACCTTATGCCTATTTCACTAAATTTCTACACGTTTGTATAGCACTAAACTCTTACGACGTACAAGCAAAGACACTAACTTGAAGAAACATTCTGTGGTACTTGCACAGCAACCAGCTTTCCTTGTTCTTTTTTGCTAGGAGCTGACAATTCAAAGTTAGGAGTAGATTTTTTGCCATAGCTGCTGGAGGATAACAGAACGTTTTTCTTAAAGATAAAAGAGAACATTGTTTTTTTTTCAACGACTCATTGCAAATTTTTTGTATTTATTACATTTTTGCAATTTTTGATGTTATTTGAAGAAATTTTGAATTGAATAAACTAATTGTTGATTTTGAGTGACTATCAGTTTACTCAGTTTTATTAAGTTATGGCCTGGGTTTAGCTCAATTATTTAAATTTTTTTATTGCATTACTCAGACGGAACAGTTTGTGGTATATGTATTCAGACTGATATTATATCAGGGCTCGTCTGTTATGTCCTCAACATCAGAGTTTTTCAAAAATAGTTTCTATGTGGAATGTTGCGAATAATTGATTTTTTTCTTTTTACTTTCACAAAAAAAAATTATCAAAACCTTATCGACAGTTTCAGATCTCAAACTTCAGCGGTTGAAAATAGCAAAGTAAAAATAAGCGAGCGGGTCATTGGCCTTTGTCCAATAGCCTAATGCTTGACTACTATATGCCGATTCGACTGATCCACTATCAAAAGAAATGTTACGCTTCTCGACAAACATTTTTTGATGGCAAATTTGTCGGAAGAAAAACAACACCAAGAATTCGTTTATGGGAAACATAAGAGTACGAAACTTAGAATCCTTGTCTTTCATTTGTCGATCTTTCTGCTAGTCGATACACCATATTTGCCAGTACATATTATTAGAATGCAAAACTTTTGTCAAAAGGATCATCAATAGAGTTCAAATTCAGTTTTTCTACTTCAATCAATTCTTTCAATCATTGACTCAATCAATCTTTTCTAGTACAAAAATGTTAGAAGGACAGCCGGCCAAAGACAGTCAACGACTTTTTAAAATCCTATCTGTCTGAATGAAAGCAATTTCTAGTCTTTTACAATCAAGATTCCAGTATTAAAAACCTAAAGTGCGGAGAGCTCCAGTGTTCGATATTAAGACATGTCATATTTCATCATTTTTTAAACGATTTAAGAGTCACAGTTAACAGTAATAATATAATTCTGTTTGCGAATGATGCAAATGCAAGCGACAGACTAACTAACAGAGATTTACTTAAAGAGGACCAAGTTGAAAATAAAAAACGGATGAATGCTACCAAAACGACTTTTTAAAAAAACTTCATTCATGATAACAAACTGGAAATCGGATTTCCCTACCACAGTTTGGGATAGAACTTCACTTAACCCCAAAAGCACTGCTAAATATTTAGTCGTCAATATTGACAAAAAAGGTAATTTTTTAGACCATTGCGCGACAGACTTGAGAGAGAGCTCGAGCAAGTTTATTTCAATTATGTACTCCTCATTGAAACATCTAAGCAAAAATTGTTGATGGAGTTTTTCAATACACTCTTTCATTCATGTGCTCTTCCACTCTGGAATCCTAATTTCTAAAACTGTCAACAAAACTACTCTGTTCAATTTGCAAAGTCAATACAATTCTCTGTTACGCATTATCAATTGGACCAAAAGATTTGATGAAATCAGAAGAGTTCAAAAAAAATGGTTACTTTTTTTACTACCAATTTTACGAGTTGCTCAAGCTATTAGCAAAAACATTTAGATCTGGGCTCACAACCGACTTTGTTAACGGTTTCTCCTCCAGAAGCTTAATAAAAAACTGCAACAAACAAAAAAAGGTATCAGTCAGAGTCAGAAGATTCTACAACGTTTGAAAATGTTGATCCGTCGATTTTGAAAATTTTTCTCAGTAATTAAAAATGAAGCTTGATGATTAAATTTATAATACAAAAAATAATTATTTTTTAACACCTTAGGTGTTTACAAGCATATTTTGGTGATCGTTTTCCTTTAAAACAATTTTTAGTAAACTTTCTTCTGTAAATAAAAACAGTGTAGTTGAATTCACTGACAAGTGATCGCTCGGATGAAATTTAGAAAAGTTTTCATACGGATTTTTCTGACAGGCTGTGAAGTTTTCAGCGTGCGTTCAAGTTCAGTGCTCGGTAAAAATTGAATTATAATAACTTATCAGTATAACAAACCGTCCTTAAGAATAACTTATTACAATTATTATTGTCAATGAAAACCCAATGAAACACAAGAGATTATAGTCAAGTCAGTATTTTTTTCGCGGAGAAATAAAACCAAAAAGTCAACATAGTTGTGATCAATTCCTATACTATAATTAAGGTTGAGGACAACAAGCAGACGGAATTTCAGGTCAAAAGTGTTTCAGGCTGAGTTTGAAACATTTTATTGCATGTATAATATGATGGTGAATTGAAATAATTCAGTTTTTTTTTGTGGCAGTTACAAGAATTCAGTTGTTTATAATCACTATTTTTTCCTAAAAGCTGATCAAGAGATCTTTAAGTTTAAGAGCAACCGGATTTTGAAATGGATGAACTATAATTTGAAAAAAAATCATATCGTTGACTGATCCAAAACATTCAATTCTGTAAAAAACAATGAAAAAAACTCTGAGCTTATGATCCTCAACTGTTTTCGAAATTATAAATAATTTTTGGTCTAAATTTTGTACTTTGACTTGAAGTCCCGTCGACTTGATGTCGATACTAATTATTATCATTGCAATTATTATGATCGTTAAAATTAGGAAGCATTTCCACGAGCACAATTTAAATCTATCCATGACAACATACCAATTTTAAAGTGCAATGCGTCTTACCCGTTTTGCCGTCTTTTCCTTTTCTCTTCATTGTAACTGTGACGGTACAACACACATTCATTTAAAAGATGTGATCTCTTTAACTCCCCCCAACCTTTTGCAAAAAAAGGGTTTGTGGGAGATTCGTTAGGTACAAAAATCACAGATGATTACCGTTTAATTAGTTCATAGGTTCATATCGTTAATAGGTACCAAAGGGGGATATAAAAAGATATATAGATCCAAAAGAAGCTTAACCTTTTTTAGGCATTTAAGATTTTATTTAAACTTTTTTGTTTTCGGCCGTGGTTTTGTCATTTTCTGATTTGCACATGTTTCATAACTGCATGAGCGGGTTTTATAAGGAGAAGCCAACTCTGTTAACTATCTTCTCTAGGTCAACTGATATTATTATTGTAGAAAATAATAAATAAATTGGCTAATTAATTAAATTTTAGATTTTTTTGCATTTTATTTGTCTGCACATACCATTTACGCCCTATATGATGCTCAGCGGAACCAAGAGGCTGAGTAAAAATTTTAGAATACACGAAATATATTCTGCAAAAATCCGATTTACAAAAAAAACAAGTCTTCGAAATGATGTCCTTTTTATATCAAAAAATTGTGCAAATGTGAACTATTTTTTGCATGTGAACGTACGACAGGTTGTTAGAGTGTAATATAGATAGATAGATATTCGTGAGTGGCTTACCTGAGTCTATTCCGTCCTTCCAGAAGAGTCTGAGTTCCTCCGCGGTGTAGCCGTAGCACTCTAGTCTCAAGATGCACGTCTGGGTGTCGAGGGGGAAGGCCGCCAACTCCATCGGACATTTCGTGATCACCGTTACTCTTGAACAAAAAATGGATCTAGTTGAAAATCTCGACCCCCCCCCACACACACACACACACACACACTTTAAAGAAGGGGAGATTGTTAAGCAGAATTAATTTTTCGAATTTCTGACCAATCAGACTGCAGCAAAATTAGAATTCTGAATTTCTGGAAATTCTGGAAATTCTGGAAATTCTGGAAATTCTGGATTTCTGAACAGCTTTTGTGCTGTTGTTTTGTTTTGACTTAGAGACGTGGAAACGCTTTTGTCACTACCAATGTGGGGGTTGTGAAATGGAGCCCAGAGAATATTAAGGATAGTGTTGCAAGAATAGTTCGAACGTCTGAGCGTTAATTCGCGAGATTGACATTCCAATGCTAATTTCATCAATAAGATATAGATTATTCAATTTTATTGTAATTCACCCATGCTCCTCTGTATTTGGTTGGAAAAGGATCGAGCACACCCTTAGAGCGTGTTTTTAGTACAGCTGGTGATGTGGTAACAAAAAAAAACGCAGTTTGTTATCTGGGGAGCACGTTGATATGCAAATCTTCATGTGTGATAATTGGTATTTGTTAACTACGTGACTCTAAATTGATTATTTTATCAATTTTGTTTGCGCAGGTTGTGGAAAAAAATTACCTCTCAGAAATTTTTTGTAGTTCAACATTCGAATGAACGTTCGAACGTTCCGGTCAAACGTTCGAACTCTTGATTTGAACATTTGTTGCAACACTAATTAAGGACGCGCTTGCGCGCTTTTGTGCGATATAAAAAACGCTGAAATTATTAAAAATGCACTTATGATTTCAGAAAAAAAATACCAAAACCTTTTTGACCAACGCAAAAAATTATACAGAAACTCAGTTTTCCTGAAAAAATCATTTGGTTTCATTTTTCCACACATATGAAATTTCGAATAAAATCATATTAAACCGATATAAATCAATTTTCAACGATTTTTTTGTATAACCATTTTTTACAGATTAAGTTCAAACTATATTCAAACTTTCTAAACTATCAAACAATAGAGATTTAGCGGAAAAAATTTAGTTTATTCTTTCAATTTAAATTTAGTTTTGATGCTCGGCCGGAAAATAAGGATAACGATAATGATAGCAATAAAGATAATTATAATCTAAATTTTTTGCAACAAATTTTTTTAATCTAAGCTGATCTTTTCAATTATATGATGTTTGCCTAAACAATTGAGCCTAGAACGATGATATTAAATTGACATTTGAAAAATGTTGTATATTTGTACTTCTCATTAAAGCGGGAACCCTTAGTTTTACATAATTTGAAAGGGAATCCCTTAAACACAAAATTTAGCGGTAAAAAAGTCTCCTCGAGTGACTCATGCTCTCTGTAGCTCTCTTTAAAATTTTTTGAACAGAAAAATGTGCTCGCGCTTCCGAACAAGAAAAAAGTTATGCTAAATAATTATTAGTTGCGATTTCGATGATTTTCACTACCTTGCAAAAATCCATTTGAATCGATTTAAAACCATTTTTTATGCAAAAAAAAAATGTTTTTTTTTAACGTAACAACCTATTTAACCCCATTCTAAACCGATATAAGTAATCAAATGGTCTATCGTAAATGGATTTTTATACAGTAGTTTGTCTGTTTAACAATCGATTTAAACTGATTTCAATTTCAAATCATTTTGCTTTACAAAATATAACAATGTTTGTGGTTTTCTCGAAAAAAAAATTTCAAAATTTGAATTTGAAAAAAAATTGAGCTTGAATTTTTTCCAAAAAAGATTTTTTTTTTTGAGCTGGGACTTTTTCTCTGCTTAACTATATCTATCGATTCAATCTTTTGTAAATCTCCATTAGGTGCTAAAAATCGGAACAGACCGAAAAAATAAACATAAAAACCAGTTACCATAATTCAGAAAAAGTTAGCATACAAGAGCTACTTTTCAGACTAAAATTTTGGGATCTACTTAACAATCCCCTCCCCTAATCTCCATACCTATAAATAAATGCAGTAAATTAGCACTGAGCTTTCTTTTGAGAATTCTAACTTACTGCATTCTGATTGGTCCAAAAATTGACCATTTTGGTCTACTTAAGAAACTCCCCTGAAAGGGTTGGAGATTGTAATTAGATTCGAAACTTGTCTCGAGGTCGCTTGAAAGTTTAAACTGAGCGCAAAAATTGTTTAAAATAGGCAAATTGTTCTGTTCAATTAAAAATATTATGTATCGGATTTTTGCAACTTTCAATATCAATGATACGAACTTACCTTGATGAGTAGAGTATGGATCCATCGGGAGATAGTCTGATGAGAACATTGGGCACCATGACATCCTGCTTCGAGGCGTCCAAAGAGTCTGGGAAGTAGGTATCCGGAACCCAAATCTAAAAAGCGCTCAAAAGATCAGTTTTGGGATCTTGATACCTATATGGGGTCTTGTTATCCCTCCTAGAGCACCTAGTAACTAATTATCAACCCGATTTTGAAAAATATCAACTGTAAAGCCTATTCTGATTTTTTTTTTAAACTTGCAATTTTGTTGCTAAACGCTAAAGAATCCCGAACGAAATGGTTATATTTTGCTTTTACCATTTATCATGAACACCAAATGTTTGCTTTTTTCAGGCTGACTCGAGAAAATCATATCCGTCCCTGCAGGCTGGTATGAACGAAGCAGTTCACGTAGCTCTTTCGAGATGATTATCATAATTTATCTTTCGGGGTTGTTTCGTCTCCGTTTTCGAGATAATTTTTCCTCTATAAAATGTTCGAATGCAGTATGATTATATCGTATACAGAAATGGTAGTATATGTGCACATAATTTCCCAGAACTCACCCTTTCTAGAAACTCGTGTGAGAGTGTCAAGTTGTGAGTGTACTGTGGCCCATTGTACTGTGCAAAATCTAGTCTACTGTCCCTCCAAAACTGCCTGAAATAAATACGAATTACAAAAAAAACTTACTTTTTAAATTGAGGATTAGATTAGTTGAAAAACAAAGAAAGAAGAAACGAAATCAACAAGCATAAACAATATCTACATCATCAACAAAATCGGGTTACCCGGGTTTTCCTCGAAAGACCAAAAAAGCTAATCATACATTTCCATAAACTAAGTCTATGAAAAAATACTAGTCATGCAATTATCATTCCTTTTGCTAAAATGATGTCATCGAATTTTCGAAGAACTATTTTCTTGTTTCGGCATAAAACTCGGTGTAGCGTACTAAATAAAAAAGAAAAACTTATTACCAAAAAAAAACATGCTTATCATACATATTCCATATATGGAAATTGTATGATTAGCATTTTTTTGATAGCGACTACAAAAATGTGTCCCAGTATTTTTGAAAGTGCCCAAACAATTTTTTGTGTTTTTTTTTTCAACCGCAAATCGAATTTTGTACTCAAACAAACATTCTTCAAAAAAAAAATTTGCACGCAAAATTTACTTTTTTGTCCGCACAATTTATACATGTTTATGTATGCCTTGATCAATGATTGATAATTTAAAAATTCAAATTTCAAAAAAAATCATCGTTGAAAATGTTTGTCAAAACTGAAGCTGTGATTTTTTCGTTATATTAATTATTTGAGACAGAATTAAGAGATTTTAGACCGTTTTCAATGCATTTTTAATGCGAGACGGTCAAACCTTTGGTTACTCTACGCTTGAGTAACCACAGTTTTGGTCACTTGTTTGTCGGTTACGAACACAACTAAAAAATGTTGAGAAATGAGACAACCAAGAAGTGTAAAAAATCAATATTTTTGGGTTATGGGAAAATGCTAGTCATACAATTTCCATATACGAAAAAATACTAATCATAGAACTTTCAAACAATTTTCTGTACTTATGGAATTGCATGAAAAGTGTATGATTAGCATTTTTGGTCAACCCGGGTAGTTACGATTTGTATTTGAAGTTAAGAAATCAGTAATAATTTATTTCGTAGGTTTGCTTACATGTCACGTTTATGATTGGTTGTATAGTAGTTGTCAACTGACCGCAGTCCGAGTTAGAACTACCTGAATGAGATGTCGACTCTGAAGTGCATGTTCACTTCATCAATGGGTCCCAGACTGTCCAGATTCATGGTGATGCCCACTTGCACCCCCTCCCCACCGAACAAGGGACGCAGGGTCTTGTCGTACCTGGAAAGTAACAAATAACACGATAAAAAAGCACAGTAGTTACTACTCAAATTAAATTCCCGTGTTGACCTCCACGTAAGAAAAACCAGTCGCACAATTTCATACATGAAATCTATGAAAAAAATGCTAGTTATGCATCTTCATACTATGAAAAGTGCATGACTAGAAAATCTAATTTTCAGAAAATCATTTTTTCCACAGCAGCAAAAAGTTTTTAATTTAGATAAGGTTGCTCACAGTTAAATTACAACATATAATGGTATGAAAACATTATTTTAACAACAGAAAAAAAATTTTAAGTTAAAAAGTTAGTCCTATAACTCTATCTTTTGAAAATGATATGACTAGCTGGACCAAGTTAACATCCTCCCCCAAAATACTTTTAGGGGGTGGATGTTAACTTGGTTCTGAGTTCGATTTTTCAGCCAATCAGAATAGAGCATTTTTCACGCAGCGCTTAAAATTGGAGAAAAAAAAACATTTAGGTTCTTAATGGACATTTTGAGATTTGTTGCTCCATCTATCGAAACAAAAGTAACGGAACATTTGTGCTCGGAATTGGGTTTTTTTCTTCAGACAAATTTCGACTTTTTAACTAGTCATTTTTGACAAAAAATTTTTTATATCATTCAAAAAGTATTGTTGTCCTGACAAATTTCGACTTTTTAACTAGCCAATTTTTACAAAATTTTTTTTATCATTCAAAAGGTATTGTTGCCCTGACAAATTTCGACTTTTTAACTGGCCATTTTTGACAAAATTTTTTATATCATCAAAAGATATTGTTCTCCTGACAAATTTCGAATTTTTAACTAGCCATTTTTGACAAAATTGTTTTTATATCAATCAAAAGGTATTGTTGTCCTGAGTTGCATTGACTCTCTGCTCGCATCGTTCGTTGTAAACCAAAAAAAATAATAATATTCTATATTTTGGTTGCCACAAAATATCGTTTTTTTTTGAAGTCGTGACACTAAAGTTTTCAAAATGATAACTAAAAACTACTGTCTAAAATTGCTATTTTAATATTTCAATGATTGTTTTTTTTTCAATAGTCGGAACGAACATTTTATATTTTTAGAAAATGTTTGAATTAAATGCAAATGTTTTATTTCTCAACTAAGAATATGAAAAAATATTGTAGAGAGCAAGTATTGCATTTTGCTCGAACCAAAAAACTTATAGACAGAAACTGAAAGCGTTTCTTTCAAACTAAAATTCAAAAAAAAAGAAAACGAAAATCTGCAAATTAAAAGAAAAAAGTAAGTCATTATTTACAGCCAGCGTTTCAAAACGTCACAAAAATGCCATTAAAGTTAAAAAAGTGTGAGATTCAGTTTAAGAAAATTAACAAACAGTTTTGACCTTTTTTTGGATAGGCCGAAAGTTTCCAAACTGGAACAGTTGTTAATTTGATAGGACAGTTTTTCCAGTTAGTACTAAAATTGTTGGGAACAAAATTATTTTGGGCCCGGATCTCGGATTTGTTTTGAGAGGACGGACTTTTTCAGTTCGGTCAAGTTGACCAAAATGATTCTCTGAGCTCTTCAAAAATACAAAAAGACCCTATTTTACTAAGAATGTCTAGACCCCAGGCAACTTTTGATTTAAAAAAAAACGTTATTTTTAATTATAAAAGCGTTTTTCAGACTAGATTTCTTTTTTAAATTTTTCTCTCAAGTTTAATCAAATTGGCGTTGGAGGTGCCTTTAGAGCAACTTTAGAGTGAGTCAGACAAAATTTTGATTGATAAAACTGTACCAAATGGCGACTTTTTGGATGTTGATAAGGTTGAACCGCACCCATACGACCCACACAAATTCAACGCTGATTTTGACCTTCAGTAAAAAATGCAAGGATTTGAGTAATAAAGGAATTGAGATACAAAAGTTTTTTTGAAAGGCTTCACAGTCATTTTTTGTAACTACAAAAAACACCCATTTTAAAAAAGATTTGATACATTCAGATCTACGAGTTTGCTTTAATTCCTATGTTGATTCTTAAGGATCTCAGTTGTTTTTAGACTATTTGAAGCAATGTTATGATCCATTTTTATAGTTCATGTATTCCCTCAATGAACACAACTGCCGTCTATTTTTTCTTAGTACTGCTCAAGTACTTTCGCTTTTGTCGTGCTACAAGCATAATTGTTAATTCTTATGTTTCTCTGTTCTTCCATTGTTCATCACTGCATTCAGCTACTCCATAATTTATTTTTAAAACAAAGATAAAAGAATAGTTTAAGGGAGCCGGTCAATGTGTAGTCTGCAGCTCAGAAAATTTGGTCAAAATAGGTTGTTTATAGTGATATGAGAGCTCACAAAACTAATTTAAAAGAGAGGAAAATTTTTTTTGAAATTTTTTGAAAATCGCCTTCTTCAACAACATCCTAGATCCGTCTCTGAAATTTCCTTTTTTTATGTCGTTCATGTTCCTCACAAAAGTTGCATGCTTTTTAAAAATACATAAATAGTGGAAAAAGCTTTTTATACGTGCAAATCCTTGAAAACTATTCAGAATATATTATTGTTCCGACTTTCGATACGAAAGTAACGGAATGTTTGTGCTCGGGGTGGGTTTTTCTCTTCAGACAAACTTCGACTTTGTAACTAGCCATTTTAGACGGAATTTTTTTATCATTCAAAAAGTATTGTTGCCCTGAGCTCAAATTTGAAAAGATATTTCACCTGTGATCAGTTTTCGTAAAGTTATGAGGGTTTAAAGGTTGCCATTTTGGCCAATTTGGGACAATTAACGCGCGATATATTTCGCACTATTAACGCGTAAGCGGAGAGTTAATCCGTCTTAAAATCGTTCCAAATTGGTTGAAAAAAGCTTAAATGCAACAATTTTTTTTGCTACAAGGAGCGAAATATATCCTTTTGTACTTTATATGGCGTGTGGGGGGATGATTTTCATAAAAAAATTCCAAATTTTAGAATTTTTTTTCATTTTATTTTATTACATTTAATTTTTTAATGTTGTTGTTTCTCCATAAAATTTTAAAAAGCAGTCGGAACATTCAGGGCTTCGCCCTGATACGAGCAGTCTTGTTTCTTTTGAGAGTAATTTAATTTTTAAAAAGCAGCATCCGCAATAGTTAAAAGAGACGATATGCATTGACAAGGGAAAGACCAACATACAAGCTGCTCAGCTTTTCGTGGAAAACCACTTTTGTGCCTCTGCTTAAAAACTACTAGCAATTTCTTAAACAATTTTCTGCGCTCGGTTCGAGCATGAATCATGGTGGCTCTCGATCAGTGACGTCACTTTTCGAATGAGAGCCCCGGAGATCTAACCATTTCACAACCGCTCCACCTAGTTTGTAGATATATTTAAGAAAAGTTTGAAATGTTATTTTAAAACTCATAGATGAAACCTCTGTTAAGACATTGAAACAGCCCTGGAACGAGAAATTCGAACATAGACTTTGTTTCAAAAAACGTGTATTTAAAACGAATTGAACAACATCATTCAAAAGACAAAACTTGCACAACATATAGAGCAGAACCCCCAAAAACTTCGGAAAAATCCCATATCAAAACATCTGTTTTTTTTCTGTTTGGCTTACCTTATGGCCCCATACTCGTCTTCTTCGTCTGAAATGAGAAAATTCAAGAGATCAGTGACGTCACTGTTCTTCACTTTCGAAACACTTTCCTCCTCGGCTTCTGATTGGTCAGCCGAACTAACTGCATTTTTGTTTTTTTCAGCCGAAACAACCGAGAAGAATAAACATGGAAAAATGCATAAAACGAACAAAAGTCCGAACAAAAATAGGGAAACAGTTGAAGAAAATTTCATAATGGCTGAGCTGAAAAAGTCTTTGACTGATAATTTCAATTTGATTTTTGGTTCCAAATGGCTTCAGATTCCAATTTAACCTCGAGATATGACTTATTTATTAAGATTGAGCTATAATAAGTTATATGAAATAACAGTGATATGAAGGTACTAAGGTAGTTGAGAGATTAATAAAATTTCGGACAGCAATAACAGTTATAGGGTAAAGGGGGAAATAGCTGTGGTAAACAAATAAATGATTTTCCAAATGAGCAGGTTACGACCGCGATTATATAAGAAAAGTGTCTTCGTTGCTTTAGGCTGGTTTCTTGTTTACTTGTTGACCAGTTTTAGGAAAAATCAGTGCGATCGCAATTGCAATATATCAAACAAAGATCAATTTCCTGAAATAGGTTTCCAATTTTTTTGAATTATTGTTAGGTTTTTTTTTGCTCATGTATTAAGGAATAAATAAACGAACACTAAAAACTGAATATTTAAATAAATTGAGTAAAACATAAAATGCATGGTTAAATGAATGAGGAGTTCATTTTAATTCCAGTTACGAGTTCTATTATGTTTTTTTCATCTAGATTTAACTCGAAGAGTTGAAAAATCAGTTTCATATTTTTACTCATCACTTTGGTTTTGCTATGAATAAACTATACCATTTATTAATCGTTTTATATACGCGTTAAAGACATATGGCATTTAAGCGTACTTTAAAACTTGTAAGCTTTTATACGACAAAATGGTCTTAAAAACGTATTTAATTTTAGCGCAAATATGTTTAACGTTCTAGTCTGCTTTCAAGAGTTCAAAGCATTTTTAAATGTCAGAGGCCGACCATTCCGTTGAATTAAAAAAAACGTCGTATTTAAACTGAAAATTTCGGAAGTTTTTTTATTTTAATGAAAAATAAAAGTACTGATGCATTAGTGTTGCATTTCTGATAAATTATTTCAATTATTCCTACTTTTTGTGATTTAGATTTGGTATTTTTGGTTTTGAAGTTAGTCAAACCGGGAAAAAAAATTTCTTAAAATAGTTATTAATTGATGATGAACCTCATCGTACACAGGATGCTTTGCCGTTATCAAAAACAAATAATAAAAACAAAAATTAAATGTAAGCACATATTTATTTTTAAATTATCACTCATTAAACACTGATATAAAATTGATCTACGTGCTTTATGAGCTATTTCTATGACAAAATCTACGGCAGATAATATTGAAAAATTGCCATAAATTTATCGCAAATTTATCTTCAAGAGTTTTCAGGACGCTCTTAGAGTTGCAGAAAATTCAATCAATTTCAGAGATTAATGGAATTGCGGTTGAATCAAACGTTATAAATCTTCTTGATATTCAAACAAATAAAAAATGTGAAATAAATTTTCCCAATTCGACCTTCGGAGTAACCAGTTTTCCCACCTAGGTCTAAATATTTGAATTTATTTAGTGATATGGGTCCAGATAAAACAGATATAATTTTCTTTTACAGTTTCTATAACACTAAAGACATGCAAAAAAGCTGTTCAGCTTGTCGAGGCACGCCCTAAGCTATACATATATGGGTCGGAATAAGCCACAAAACTACCTTAGAAAGTGACAGTTTTATTTCCACTGAAAGAACTGAGGAACACGCAAATTTTCCTTAAATAGTTGCGTTTTTTGCCAACCTCGTGAAGCTAAGAAGAAAAATTCAGCTCTGTGGAAGTAACTTTGACATACACAAATGGGAAGTTTACTAATTTATTGAAAGTTCCAACAATATCATCTTTTTCATCCAAATATATAAACGTATAATTATCCGCCCACAAAAAATAGTGCTCAAAATCTGCAGGGGGGCAAGTATTTTTCGGACAACTGGATGGCGGTGCTGTTCATTGTGTTTAAGAAAGACTGAAATTCCAGATTATGGCGATATTTTTGTCACAAACAAATTACCAGGGGCAGATCTAGGATTTTCTCGAGGCAGGGAGGGGAGTCGGATTTTCTAAATTGATTTTCTGAGCTCTCCCAAACCACTATAAAGACCCTAGTTTGACCAAACTTTCTGCGCCGCAGTCAAAATTTTTTTAAAAAAAGGTCAAAAAAAGCGTTTTTAGGAATATTTTGATCAGAAAGTCACGTTTTTTGGCGCGCGCTCCCTTCTCAAACTTAATATACTTTGGCGCCAAAGGCTCTTTTAAAAAACTTTTAGGGTTAGTCAGCCAAAAAAGGACATCTCAAAATAGTACAGAGGGGGAATCATTTTTGGTCTCGGCATGTATGCAGTTCCGTGTAAAACGTCAGACACGCCTAAATATTCCAAATGCAAAAAAATGGTATCAGAGCAAAACTCTGGAATGTCAGACTGCTATTTAAAAGGTCTGATTGATTTTTTGATGAAGTCGTGGTTAAGTTTTCAAAAAAAAGATTTTTATTGTATTTTTGTGATTTTTCAAGCAAATTTTTTCAAGCCGGAGTATTAGAGCTGGAAATTTTGCGAGCATTTAAATATCTCAAAAGAATTGCTTATAAAGTATTTTTATGCTGAGGGTATCAGGAGATCTCAGATAATCTGAGAAACTCAAGAAAATAGTCAAAAATTGTCCGATGGCGCCGAGCACAGTTTTTTACAGTACCTTAGAAAGTGACAGTTTTATTTCCACTGAAAGAACTGAGGAACACGCAAATTTTCCTTAAATAGTTGCGTTTTTTGCCAACCTCGTGAAGCTAAGAAGAAAAATTCAGCTCTCTGGAAGTAACTTTGACATACACAAATGGGAAGTTTACTAATTTATTGAAAGTTCCAACAATATCATCTTTTTCATCCAAACATGTAAACGTATAATTATCCGCCCACAAAAAATAGTGCTCAAAATCTGCAGGGGGGCAAGTATTTTTCGGAAAACTGGATGGCGGTGCGGTTCATTGTGTTTAAGAAAGACTGAAATTCCAGATTATGGCGATATTTTTGGCACAAACAAATTACCAGGGGCAGATCTAGGATTTTCTCGAGGCAGGGAGGGGAGTCGGATTTTCTAAATTGATTTTCTGAGCTCTCCCAAACCACTATAAAGACCCTAATTTGACCAAACTTTCTGCGCCGCAGTCAAAACTTTTTTAAAAAAAGGTCAAAAAAGCCGTTTTTAGGAAAATTTTGATCAGAAAGTCACGTTTTTTGGCGCGCGCTCCCTTCTCAAAATTAATATACTTTGGCGCCAAAGGCTCTTTTAAAAAATTTTTAGGGTTAGTCAGCCAAAAAAGGACATCTCAAAATAGTACAGAGGGGGAATCATTTTTGGTCTCGGCATGTATGCAGTTCCGTGTAAAACGTCAGACACGCCTAAATATTCCAAATGCAAAAAAATGGTATCAGAGCAAAACTCTGGAATGTCAGACTGCTATTTAAAAGGTCTGATTGATTTTTTGATGAAGTCGTGGTTAAGTTTTCAAAAAAGAGATTTTTATTGTATTTTTGTAATTTTTCAAGCAAATTTTTTCAAGCCGGAGTATTAGAGCTGGAAATTTTGCGAGCATTTAAATATCTCAAAAGATTTGCTTATAAAGTATTTTTATGCTGAGGGTATCAGGAGATCTCAGATAATCTGAGAAACTCAAGAAAATAGTCAAAAATTGTCCGATGACGCCGAGCACAGTTTTTTACAGTACCTTAGAAAGTGACAGTTTTATTTCCACTGAAAGAACTGAGGAACACGCAAATTTTTCTTAAATAGTTGCGTTTTTTGCCAACCTCGTGAAGCTAAGAAGAAAAATTCAGCTCTGTGGAAGTAACTTTGACATACACAAATGGGAAGTTTACTAATTTATTGAAAGTTCCAACAATATCATCTTTTCATCCAAATATATAAACGTATAATTATCCGCCCACAAAAAATAGTGCTCAAAATCTGCAGGGGGGCAAGTATTTTTCGGACAACTGGATGGCGGTGCGGTTCATTGTGTTTAAGAAAGACTGAAATTCCAGATTATGGCGATATTTTTGGCACAAACAAATTACCAGGGGCAGATCTAGGATTTTCTCGAGGCAGGGAGGGGAGTCGGATTTTCTAAATTGATTTTCTGAGCTCTCCCAAACCACTATAAAGACCCTAATTTGACCAAACTTTCTGCGCCGCAGTCAAAACTTTTTTAAAAAAACGTCAAAAAAAGCGTTTTTAGGAAAATTTTGATCAGAAAGTCACGTTTTTTGGCGCGCGCTCCCTTCTCAAAATTAATATACTTTGGCGCCAAAGGCTCTTTTAAAAAACTTTTAGGGTTAGTCAGCCAAAAAAAGACATCTCAAAATAGTACAGAGGGGGAATCATTTTTGGTCTCGGCATGTATGCAATTTTGTGTAAAACGTCAGTCACGCCTAAACATTCCGATTGCAAAAAAATGGTATCAGAGCAAAACTCTGGAATGTCAGACTGCTATTTAAAAGGTCTGATTGATTTTTTGATGAGGTCGTGGTTAAGTTTTCAAAAAAGAGATTTTTATTGTATTTTTGTGATTTTTCAAGCAAATGTTTTCAAGCCGGAGTATTAGAGCTGGAAATTTTGCGAGCATTTAAATATCTCAAAAGAATTGCTTATAAAGTATTTTTATGCTGAGGGTATCAGGAGATCTCAGATAATCTGAGAAACTCAAAAAAATAGTCAAAAATTGTCCGATGATGCCGAGCACAGTTTTTTACAGTACCTTAGAAAGTGACAGTTTTATTTCCACTGAAAGAACTGAGGAACACGCAAATTTTCCTTAAATAGTTGCGTTTTTTGCCAACCTCGTGAAGCTAAGAAGAAAAATTCAGCTCTGTGGAAGTAACTTTGACATACACAAATGGGAAGTTTACTAATTTATTGAAAGTTCCAACAATATCATCTTTTTCATCCAAATATATAAACGTATAATTATCCGCCCACAAAAAAAAGTGCTCAAAATCTGCAGGGGGGCAAGTATTTTTCGGACAACTGGATGGCGGTGCGGTTCATTGTGTTTAAGAAAGACTGAAATTCCAGATTATGGCAATATTTTTGTCACAAACAAATTACCAGGGGCAGATCTAGGATTTTCTCGAGGCAGGGAGGGGAGTCGGATTTTCTAAATTGATTTTCTGAGCTCTCCCAAACCACTATAAAGACCCTAATTTGACCAAATTTTCTGCGCCGCAGTCAAAACTTTTTTAAAAAAAAGTCAAAAAAAGCGTTTTTAGGAAAATTTTGATCAGAAAGTCACGTTTTTTGGCGCGCGCTCCCTTCTCAAAATTAATAAACTTTGGCGCCAAAGGCTCTGTTAAAAAACTTTTAGGGTTAGTCAGCCAAAAAAGGACATCTCAAAATAGTACAGAGGGGGAATCATTTTTGGTCTCGGCATGTATGCAGTTCCGTGTAAAACGTCAGACACGCCTAAATATTCCAAATGCAAAAAAATGGTATCAGAGCAAAACTCTGGAATGTCAGACTGCTATTTAAAAGGTCTGATTGATTTTTTGATGAAGTCGTGGTTAAGTTTTCAAAAAAGAGATTTTTATTGTATTTTTGTGATTTTTCAAGCAAATTTTTTCAAGCCGGAGTATTAGAGCTGGAAATTTTGCGAGCATTTAAATATCTCAAAAGAATTGCTTATAAAGTATTTTTATGCTGAGGGTATCAGGAGATCTCAGATAATCTGAGAAACTCAAGAAAATAG